AACGCACTAAAAATGCTTCAATCAAATGTTAACATTAAAAGACTTAGTTAATTAAATAACAATTTCTATTATTAATTCTAATATTAATATTTATAAACAAATATTTTGCGTTTCCAGATCATGGTTTAGGCATAATACGTGTTGAAATTTTACAAGCTTTGCCACTTCTTCACAAAATATTAAAATTTAGTGGGGCCTACTTTTCTGAATGATTTTGCAAATCTACCAAACGTTCTTTAGCGTGGAGGTAGCAGGTTCAAATTCCACCGTAACCCTGGATGTATCTTTGCGATGTCCTTCTCTAATTTGTACCATTTGTTCTTTAATGTGACAAGGGCTTGCGATCCGACTTTTCCATGATCACACAATCATGCATATCTATATGCAACAATAAATGAATATCATTTAGTTTACATCAATCTAGAATAACATCAGGGTGGCTGAGAAACTAAGGTCTGAGACTTTAAAAATGAAGACCACAGGTTTGAGCGCTGAGCTTACAGTACACTCATAGCTTACAGGTGAATTACAAATAATTAGGTGAAAAAGGATCAACATCCACTTCGAGAAATATGAGTTTACGATTTCGAATTAAAATGAGAGTTTATTAAGTTCGTGTTCTACAATCTAAATCGTCTTAAAAACAAATTTTAGACGACAATTGCGTAATTGTTAAAGCAAATAAATCTTACAGTTTTTTTAATCGATTTCCAAGGTAATTAAAATTCAAAACTCTAAGAAAGATTATGAATTAGAGTCCCAAATTAACAATGAACTTTAATGATTAAAATTGAACCAGAAGTCGAAGAAAACTTTTTTCTATCTTGTCTAGAATCTTGGTTTTCAGGCAATTCTGAAATGTATAAACAAATTAGGCGAGAAGGTATTGTTTTTTCGTAGAGCCATGAAGTGTGAAAGGAAGCAGGTTCAATTCTCGTATCTCGGATGTATGTTTGTAACTTTATACAATTTGTGGTATCTGTTCTTAAATAAGCAAGTGTTTATAAGCCTTTAGAGCACACAAGCCAGAAGATTTATGTATAAATGGGCGACCCCTTGGGGCTTGTATTGTTTTTAGAACCGGAATGTACAAAGCACAAAAGCGAGAAGCAAAGATCCTCTTCATCACCTTCAGCTTAACTTTTAGAACGGTATAGTGAACAACAGAGGCATATTATAGAAAATACACCTCTCTAACTAAAATAGCTTAAAAAAAGCGATGCGCCATTGTTAGACATCTGGGCCTTTTCGCCTTCTCTTACTACTAGCACTGCGACAGTTTTTGCGACATTTTCCCATTTTTAATCATAGCAATTAAAAACTCGTACAGCTTAAGTTCTTCATTTGACGTATAAGCATTTAGTATTTGAGCTGAATACTCTTAGATGTATATTTTCAAGAGTGTGCATTTTCTAGAAATACCAATAAAAATTCGTCCCGCAGTGAACTGATCGTAATGACACGGTTCCCAGTAGAACACCGAAATCAAGCGTCACTGGCTGCGGTCAGAAAGTGGGTGAGTGATCACTTTGATCAGCCTGCGTAGGGACGGAGGATACGCTGTATCGGTCCTCGTTAAACTGTTCTCCCGTAAAGTGCTCGACTCCGCGCGCAGGTCGTTGGGCTACCAAAGCAGGGAAGCCATTCCCTCTTTAGAGGATCAAAATTGCGGATCATCCTCAGGGATGCTTCCCAGACCGTCGCCAATAGCCCATTGAGCAGCTCTAGTGCGACGTAAATAAAATAGCTATCTACCCACCAAAATAAGTTATATTTTCTGTACTTTACTTTCTATAAGCATCACTAGATAGCAGCACCAGTTACTACAGTTAATAGTTCCATAAAATTTTTAATTTATTGAAATGAAAGATATTGATCTATTTCACTATAAAATTTTCTTTTTTAATAAAGTGGGCTTCCTTTCAATCCTTCTCCCATGAAAAATGGTAAAAACTACTTTAATCACCCTTGAATAGCATAGAAAGCGACTTTTTTGCATTTTATTCTTGAGAGAAATAATGAAAAACTTTTATTTTTATCATTGTCACTAGATAGCAGCATCATTAGAAGAAAACGAGCTCGCTTTAAATTTTATATACCTTTTGAAAGGTGGAGAAGTGCCTTTTATTTTCTCCTCTTCGGTGAAGAGCTTAATTGTTGTCCATGGCTTGGACTGGGATTATATTCCCAGTCGTGAAAGCTGGGTGACTGGCAGTTAGATTGTCTTGGTTTGGAGTCAAATCTAAAACAGCGTCCAAAATGGTTGAATCTTCTTACTATGCATAAATAGTAAATGTGTGCTGCGTTTCCTCACTAAATTAAATTTACATTTACGAACTTAAATTGGAAAAGAAAAAAATTTTGAGTATTGAATCCTTTTTTTTTTTTTAAATTTTATGATAGAAATTAGAGTTTCAAATTAAAGTAGTTTACAATTTCTGGTGTATTTTTTTTAGAAACCACCTATAAAATAGTACTTTCACCTCATTGAAAGGGGATATATCAATTGATAGTAATTATAGGCAGGGAATGAAGGTTTGATGTCATATTTTTTTCGATAGTTAACTCGTAATAATTATTGTCTTCTACTGGCTGAATTCAGATTTAACTGTATTAAAAAAAAGTAAACAAATTTCACTTGACTCACTTTCTAGTATCTTATTTTGACGCATTTGCAAGTTTATTCTCTGGTGAGAAGATTAATAATTCAGTGATTATTTGTGCAAAATAATGTAACGCAACTAAATTTATAAAAATTTTCTTTTTTATGTTTCGCTAAGTTTAGACAACTTTTACATCCTCAATTAAGCCATCATTTAATTGCTGATGAGTACGTCTATTGTCAGTTTTATCAATTTTAACATGAAACCATGAAAGAATATTTTCTTTCTCATTGCCTACGCTTGAATGATTGATTATATATCATATACAGCAGTGTTCCCCAACCTTTTTATCATGGCGGACCTGCCAACGTTTAATAATTTTACCGCTGCCCGCTGGGGGGCGGGGGCGCTGATTGTTTACATTTTAGATTATTTTAATTTATTAATTTTAATTTAATTGTATTTAAACATGCCATCAAAATAAAATACAGTTGCACCAAAATATAAATATAAAGTGATTTAACATTTTAACTTACTAGAAGTTTTAATCAATGAGATCCCTGAGCTTGTTTCTTTGCAATGAGACGGTTCCATCTGGGGGTCATCGGAGACAATGATACATTACAAACTTTAAAATATTTATGTCACTACCTTCGGGGGCCACTTTTTTTTAAATAAATAAAATTTTAATGGAACACAGATATTTTTAATTTGGGGTATAAACCTGGGAATTTAAATTCATCTTCAATGGAATGGGCGGCCCGGTACAATTTGATCCACGGACCGGTACTGGTCCGCGGACCGGGGGTCGGGGAACACTGATATACAGCATCAAAAAATAAAGAGATATTTTAGAACTTTAATTTTCAAAAAAATATTTAAATGCCCATAGTCCATATTATTAAAAAGAACAAAATATGCCACTGAAGCTGAAGATGGCCATTATTTGCTTTAGCTGTACCAGCGATTCAGAATGTTGTTGTTGTACACATGCCTAAGCTGTGTTCACGTTATCAAAAAGTCTTTTCTTTTCTGATCGAGTGAATGTAATACTACATTTCTTTAATTCCAATCTGTAGCCCTATTTTAAAAAATAAATTAATTTTTACAATGCACGCCATGAAGTTCGATCTAAAATAAAGTCGAATAACAATTGTAATCGGAGGATATACACACAATCACACAATTTACAAAGCCAATATGCAACCTAATCTTATTAAATTCAAATTTGTTTATGACCCTAACACAATCAGGTAAATATTATTATTATTGAAAAAATTAAGCTTAATCTAGAAAATAGCACATGTAAGGTATAATGAATCTACCTAGTTTCAAAAATCAGCACATATAAGGCAGAAAAAGTTTAAAAGCAAAAAATCATGTTAAACTTTATTATTAAAAATTCTGTTAAACTTTATTAATAAAAATTCGGTTAAACTTTATAATTAAAAATTCTGTTAAACTTTATTAATAAAAATTCTGTTAAACTTTATTATAAAAAATTCTGTTAAACTTTATTAATAAAAATTCTGTTAAACTTTATTATTAAAAATTCTGTTAAACTTTATTATTTTTTTATTCGCTTGTGGATAATTTAACGGAATAAATGAGATTTAAAATACGAAAAAGGGGGTCTAAACGAGCAACTGGAGTTTTGAGAAATTTAGAATTTATTTCTTAAGTATTTCTTGTCCTCAGATATTTTTTTTCAAAACTACAATTGACTAAAGAGCACTATTTAGAATTTTTGAAAATAATAATTTATCCTTAGATTATATACCTGCAGATTGGTAAACAATTTTTGTTAAAGAACTGAAACAAACAGTAATTGAGTAAGTTCAGGAATTAAAAAACTATTTATGAGTCTCTCCTCTTAGTAATTTCTTAAGCTTGTTTCTTATAATATTTTTTTTAAATTTTAGTTGCAAAAATTCTGATGTTGAGATAATTATTTTAAAAATCTTAATCTGTAAAATAATCTGCTGATGCTGTTATAATCTGATGCTGTTATAATATCGTCTGTCGTGCTGGGGGGATTCTGCTATCGACTTATGCATATCTAGGATATACCTAGGGGATATACTTAGTAGTTTTTATCAGACTTTATCTTAAAAATTTATGCCACTTCCCATAGTTAAATAGCAATTAAAACTTGCAAAAAATTTATACAAAGCAAATCGTTTTAAAATTCGTGTAGAAATGGATCGTGAAGTGTACACAAACTAGTAGAATAAGATTTACTGTCTCAACTTAAAGAACAATCTCTACTCCCATTATTATGAATTTAAATAAACATAAGGATCAGGGCTAATAAATATGAGTTATGAATAAAATCAATATAAGTGCTCTATAAATCTATTTATTCATGTTTAAAAAATAATTTAAATTTTCTTTCAGTTACAACACCTGCTTTGATTGGAATATGCCTCGGAAGTGCTTTCTTCCTCGTCACACTCGCAGCCGTGACCTGTTTTTGTTACAAACGTCGATCACCAAGCGCATCGGCACAGAAGCTCAGTTCAGTCTTCAAAAAGCACCACCCTGATAAACCTCTCGTTTTGCGAAAGCCGACAGCGGTTAAAAGCCCCAGTAGTGGTTCGGTCAGTGGGTCAATCTTAATTAAGAAAAGCCCCAGTCCTACTCAGCCGAAAATCTCACCACCTGGCACCAGAACTTCACCAAGTGGAGGAAACAAATCACCTTCGAGCAGAGATGCTGACAAGTGCTTGGTGGGTTCGAATCATTCGTCAAGGCAAAACTCACCCATCACTGAAGACAAGAAATGCATTGACAGCGAAAATGAGAAGTTGAAAAACAACAAAAATGAAGAGCTGGATGAGTGTAAGGAAAAAGAAGTTTTAGTTGAAAAGCTATGCAAGCTAGGACAATTACATTTCAGGTAATTACACTTTTTCCTCTTTGAACGTTTTTTAACAGGTTTTGAATTATCAAATACTTAAAAAAAATGTTTTTTTATTTAAAACTCGATTTCTGAGGTACTATGAGACCGATTGCATTCAAATTTTATATTCTGTTTTATAAAATTGCATATTTAGAATGATGTAAAAACTTGTATACCTATTGTCACAATTATTTTTACTACTATTTTCAAATATAAAAAAAATTATTAAAATCATTTTTTGCATGCTAAGCAAACTGAATAATTGCGCGCAAAATTTTTCGAATTGCTTAAAAAGCTCTCACAGTGAAATTAACATTAATGGATTCAAACTTTCGACCGCTCTCCTCACCAAAACGATTGGGATCATATTTCCCAGATAACGGCTAGTTCCCATATTTTAAAGATCAGGAAGGCCGGGATAGCCTGGTCAGTAGGGCGCTGGGCCTATGTCCGAGAGCTCATGGGTTCGAACCCCGCCGGCCGAAGACTCCCCGTGTAGTAAAGTGACTGATGCACGTTAAATCTGTCGAGTCACAAAAGTCCTCCATGTTCCCATAACAAATCAATACCTCTGGGGGTACTGAATTAGAGATCGATCGTTCTCTGATTCAGGTCAAAATTGCGATCTGTGGATGAATGAAAGGATGTATGAATGGGTCCGCCCTATAAACGGGTACGACTTATGGTGTGGCAGAATTCGAATTCTTGGCCATAGATCGCGCCACTGAAAAACAAGAAACGCAAACTCTCTGCCTTACATTTGCTTGGCTTTCACCAAGCAGGCTTGTCCGTGTGGCAAGTGGCATTAGAAACAACAACAACAACAAAGATCAGGAGGCCAAGTCCGTTGAAAGAAAGACGTGTTTATTCAGAGAAATATAATTTCGTTACTTAAAATATCATCTGTACGAATTAATTAATTAGAATACTTGAGATTACCTCTTCAAATCATTAAGATTTAGTACCAGTGCGTGAAGATCCGATCACTAGATCAAAAGTTATTCAGGATGCTTCGTTAACAAACTAGCTATTGAATAACGATCTAGTAACAAATACTATACTATTTTCAAAATTGATTACTTTCATGTCTGAAGAGTCCTGAGCGGAAGAATGCATCTCAATCAATGCTCAATTCCGTGATCTCCTTTGCTTCCCACGTATCAATATCCTCTTCCTTCAAATAATCACCTACCCTTTCTATATTGTCTGGCGTGATGTAGCAGGAAAATAATTGGGCTCCCTCAACTCTTCGGAAAAATAACACTTAGGGTTCAGGAATCACAAACAAAGAGCGAGCAGCATGAATATAAAATGCTTTTCGTTTGTTCAATAATATTCACGCCCACACAAGGATGAAAGTCAGAGCTTAAATGGCAGATGAAGCTAAAAAAAATTTCAGTGTGAAAGTTTGTTGAAACTCATTTTGTGTGAACATATGGATATTCCTAAGCTTCTGAAGCTTAAAACTAATGAAGAAATTAATTGGATATTAAAATCATTTCCCCCTTTTTTTTCATTTGAAAATGAAGAGGTGTCACTTATAAAATCAAGTAATAACTCTCTGAATTCCGATAATTACTATGGCAACCATTCTAGTTTTTCCTTCATTGTCTGGAGCTTTACATCTAACACTTGAGGTGTCATAGTTTCATTTTTTGGAGATACTTTTTTCATGGAAGATATGAGAACAAAATAAAGTTAGAGAAAATTCTATTAAAAACTGACAAACTTTCAAAGTCATAGCCTGCTTATGCTCCTTAAATACTATATCAAGCTATTTTTTATTTCCCATGTGTTTTTTATTTTCCATGGTAACAATGTTTTTTTTTTTTAAATACATTTTGGAAATATTTTTATTCATTTTTTTAAATCAAGTAATTACACTCAAACTATCATAATCCATTTATTAAGTTCCACTATCAAGCAACCGTTTGAATGATAGGAGGCCCCACCTACTGGTGGATCCTCGGAAAAATTATTTACAATTAAGTATTGTTAATCATTATTCTAAAATTATTACAAGATATGGCGAATTCCAAAATAACTGAATTTCGTAGTTATTAGGCAAAAGATAATTTTTTTTTTCAAAAGCAAGCCCTAAGAATAAAGGATGAGACTAATACGGTTAGTTCAGTTAAGCGTATTAGTGTGGGCGCCAGAGCCAAAATTTAGTAAGTATCATTGGCGGTATACAGATTAATCTGGTTATTTTAACTATACAGTAATTAAAAGAATTTAAAAACATATATCAGCCTAAAATATAAGCACTATAAACCTTTCAAGTGTCTCCAAAACAAAAAAACACGATTCTATACATATTATAAAATTATGCTATCGAAGTTTTTCAAAATCAAAATACAGCGTTACGAAACTATAGACTTTTCCTATATCAAAGTTGGAATTTTGTATTATCACTAGGAGTCTTCACCCCTTATTCACACCACTAACCAACCCTCATGATTACTTCACATTTATCATTGATAAAAATTATGATATATTTCGCGATAAACCAAACAAATTGTATAGAATTTTTATCTTAATCATAAATTCGAAAAGACCTTCTGCGTAACAATGTGCAATACTTATTAGATGTTTTGATTTGTAATACTATCGATCTGAGTTTGATTTATATCTATTCACATAATTTAATTTCGGATAAGTACGGGCAATATATAGCTGGATCCTATAGCTTCGAATAATCCTATATACAGAATTTTGATACATTATTTATTTACTGGGCCAAATTTTTGAAATAACATTTTGTGTCTTTAAGACGAGCATTATTTATGCAAAGGAGAAAAAGTATTTTTCCAATTGTAAGATATGGATAATAAAAAAAAGAACCCAATTATTTTTTAAGAGAATATGATATGATAAAAGCATTCATCCAGAAAAAGAACTCGTTTAAGTTCTTTTAAAATATAAAAATATCTATGAAGGAGATTAGAATTTTTTATATAAGCAATTAGTTTACAGCAATAGATACTTAAAAGAGCATTTAAATGAGAACTAAGAAAATTGTGAAGCATAGTTGAGGAATTCGTAAAAACATATTTTCATAAATAGCACAATTAAGAGCAAAAACAAATATTTGAAAGAAATATTTTATTTACTTTCAAAATAAAAGCTTTAATAAGTGCAGTTTTAATAAATTACCCTGTTTCTTTTTCAACTGTTTTCCATCTAAACATAATCTTGCTTCAAAATTAAAGCCAAATACAAAGAAAGCCATTCTTTTTCATATAAAACGTTCCACAAATAATAGTTTTAATCATTATTTAAAGATTCGAAGTTTAAATAATTGTTAGGGAAGAAATTGCTGTATTTTAATCGGTAAGCTTTTGTTTTAAACTAAAATTTCTTGAGATTTAACTCAAATTTATTATTTGTTCAACAAGGAGAAAAAGAAAATATACAAATTGTTTGAACAGCTTTCTGTGAGGATGGAAAAAGTTATTATTCATTGTCAATTTATATTCCATTAAGCTTTAAATCTAGAAAGTATTATCTTAAAGAATCTTTATTATGCATTTAAAAATAATCGTAAAATAAACTTTATCGAATATTTTATGTACTATCTTTAGAAATTTGTGTTAGAGCAAAGCTATGCATTTATTACTTTAAAACCATTAGAATTTAAAGAAGATAAATACACTGGTTATCATAAATTAAGGAAAANCATATGCAAATTTTGCACGGTTTGGCTTACTTTTGAAAGAGTTATTGCTATTTTTGTGATTTTTCCTTAATTTATGATAACCAGTGTATTTTATAATCATAAAAAATATGAAAAATTGTTATTCGTGTATGTATCCGCCAATTGCTTAGAAACTTCATTAGAAATAGTTCATTTTGCCAACTGTTTTGTGTTTTTTTTTTTATTTGTGATAGATCATAAATATTTTTTTTCTTCTCCTTTTTTTAGAAATAATCGTGTTAAAAATACTTCTGAAATTTTTTGAACTGATTTATGAACAAAATTTGCTGTTTTAAAAGTTTTTCGCAAGTTATACTTTTGCTTAGTGATGAGATTCAATTCATTCAAGAATCGCTATTCTTATATGTGTACACATTTCTTAAACAAACCGGTACAATTAGGAAAATTTTGACTTCGCATGTTTTTATTTTAATTGATTTATAGTTTTATCTAATTTATGTTTTGTTGTTTAACACTATCCTTTCGAAAATTGCAGCAAATGACGTTTTTCCCCCCAAAAAACATTGAAACTGTTTTTGAATTAAAAATGGCTTCTCTGCATGCAATGAAATCGCAAATCCAAATAATTTGCATGTTTTTAAGTACCAGCTTTAAATTTGGAAATTTTTTAAAAGCGATGCTTATCTATTAAATCCCATCACAGCTTCATCGATTGTAGGACTATACAAATTTATAAAATATCAAGGCCAGATTATCGTATGGGCAGAAGGGGCACTTGCCCCAGGATCTGACATTGTAAGGGCCCTCAAATGCATTTGCATAACATTTCAAACAAATTTTATTTTTTAATCATTTTATTAAGAATTTTGTTTTATTGAAATTAAATTTCAAGTTATGCTTTTCTTTTACAGTTACATTTTTGGATGTTTTATTATATGAAGAGACTTAAAACTTATTTTGAGATACTTAGATAACTTTTTATCAAATTCGAAGCAAATTTTTCTAGTATAATTGCTCTTAATTATTAATTATTCATTGAGCTGTCTTTTCATCACTTAGTAAATAGTTTAAAGCTTTAATAATTGCTATTCATGTTGTTGTTTTCTTATTTGCCTTGCATGTATTTTTTTTTTCTTTGAAAAGAATTTTATTTTATCTTATAACCGGTGTTGTACAGCCGACCCAATTCTGAGTTTATAAGTCCCAATTCTAAGTTTGGACCAAACATCGGGTCAAATTAGTCTTCTTGTAGGACTTTTTCGATGGAACTAACCAGCGTTTGCATTACATAGAGAAGAAAGCTACGAAAACCTACCACAGTTACACAGATAGAGAGAGAATTCTAACCCGTGATCCGCCTACCACTGAACATTTTTTTATATCATCACTGTGGTCAAGGTTCATATCAAACAGCTACTTCTGGAATTCGAACCTAAGACACCTCAATGGGCGGCGAACGCTCAATCTCCTGAGACACAGTGGCTTTTTGAAAAGGATTAAGAAATCGGTGGTTATTTAAGGGTCCTCAGTATTCTGAATAGGGCCTCAATCTCTCTTTATCGGAACCTAAATAACATTATTGGCTTAAAGGATCACTAAGTTATTTTCTGTCTACAATGTACTGTGTCTGTGTCAGCGGCAAGGAAACAAACAAATTAGAAAAAAGGGAGATAAGAAATTATCTTGCGTAATTTTGTAAAATTCTTGTAAAGAAATTGTTGTTTTTTCAGAATTATTTTATTTTTGCATATATTGTAATTCTATAGTTAACAAGAAATTTATTTCTTCCTCCACTTAATCAATTTTCTCTGCAGGTTGAAGTATTCTTCCGAAAAGCTATCCCTTCAAGTCAATATAGTTAGATGCTCAGATTTACCTCCAAAGGATTCAAACAACGGGTCTTCAGACCCTTACGTGAAACTTCAACTACTTCCTGAGAAACAACATAAAGTGAAAACGAGGGTTCTCCGAAAAACCCTTGACCCTGTCTATGATGAAGATTTCACGTTCTACGGCATCACCCCAAACCAACTACAGGCGACCACTCTCCATTTCGTAGTCTTGAGTTTTGACAGATACTCCAGGGACGACGTCATCGGAGAGGTTATCTGTCCCCTATCTGGAGTAGAAATAGAAGATTCCGGGAAACAAGTGGAATTAGTTAAGGAAATCACACCTAGAAATCTTAAAGTAAGTAGTGATTTTTAGGAAATGTTTTTTTTTTCTTCCTTTCTTTTTTTTCATAAACCATGCGTGAATTTCTGCAAACTGGATTCGTTTTGACATGTATTTATGATTTAGTAAAAAAAAATTCCTATGTATTAATCTGTGCTTTTAAATATAATAGTACTAAATGTAAATGTCAATTCATATTTACAAAAAAAGAAAGAAAAAAAAACTTGTATAGAAAAATTAGAATTGAGACCTAGTAGTTAAAAAGTTATAACCAACATTTTTATAGTTTTGAGATAAATAGATTTTCCTTTCATAGGATACAGCAGAGATGTATGGTTTCCTATAAAAGCGAACTAGTATAGTGTTACCGTGCCTCGACAGAGACTCGTACAACTTGAGAATGAAAGCTCTTGTTTATTATTTAGGGTAGAGAATTTTATTCCTGTTTGTTCCTAAAATCTTTAATTTTCGCATTGACTATTCAAGTCAATGTTGAATTTCGCGAAATTACCTAAATATGTTCAAACAAGGCTGGTAAATTTATTCCATTCTATTTGGGCAAATCTTCCAGGAAGAGAAATGTTTTATTCTAGAAGCAGAAACTATTGTTTTATCGCAAATAAATACTCAATACACATAATTTATTTCTAACCTACAACCATTAATTAAGAACAATATTCTTACGCGTTAACTGTTAAGCGACAGTAAAATAAAATAATTATCAGTAAAGATAATTTAGTTATTTTATTAATGTTTCAGTTTTGCATAAATGTATTCTTATTCATCAAAATGTCTGTATTTATAAAACATAGTACCTTGAAATGTCGATAATAGAAAAATTTTCAAATTTCCCATGCATTATTTGCGTAGAAAACTTCTTTTTAATTGCTATATTTGTGTTAAAATGCCGCCTCTAATGCTGCAACTGGTACGGACTGAGAATGTAAGCTATTATAAAGCTTATTTACTGAAAAGTAAGAGCTTTATGAGATATAGTTAAAAAAGAACCATGGATAAAAAAATTTGAAGAAATTTTTTGGTCCGAATTGTCATGTTTCGTGAGAATCACCCATATATTAAAGGCGGTGATTAAGGATTACTCTATATATCAAATTTGACTAGGGTATATTGCATATTTTGAGTTAGCACAGTTTTCGTATACTTTTCAAATTTTAAATTTTTATTTATTTTTTTTCCTAGATCATTTATGAAATAAAACTTTTCAAGCAATGAACATCAAATGAAATGTGAAAAAAAAATTGTCTTTATTATTTTTATAGATCCGATACCAAGGACGTGGTGAACTTTTAGTTTCGCTGTGCTACCAACCGGCGGCTAATAGACTCACAGTTGTGGTCTTAAAAGCACGTAATCTTCCCAAGATGGATTTCGCTGGACTCTGCGGTAAGAAAATGTTAAAATATTTTTTTAACTCTTGCAAAAAATTCCCTGATGCGCTCAACTAAAACAGTTGACAGCAATTCAGTGTGAAGCGTTAAGAGCTTGATGCCTTTCAGAAATCGGAGCAATATTTTTTTCCGTTTCTATGACACGTACAACAAAGGTTTTATTTAATTTTTTATTTTTATGATAATTATCTACCGACGCGTACAGATGCTTTTGTCGGCTGCTGTGGCAAAAGCCACAGCGTGCCGACGTGCACAAAAGTCTTGACGTGCGTGACACGTCTTTCAGATGCCACAGGTAAGGATATATGTTTAAACAAAATCTCATTTTGATATAAGTTAAATCATTGACGAATGTTTCGAAAGACATTTTCGTGGGATTCTTATTTCTTTATGTTCTTAATTAATTTAATTCTTCTATGTTATATTAACTTCAAAAAAAGGGTTTAATTAAGGCTGTGGATTTGAAAATATAAACAAATCAATCCTACAATATTTGTACTTAGTTATAGTCATTAGTTTCTTACAAAAAACTCATTCCTTTTTCACTGATAACAAACAGCTCGTATTCATGAAAGCGAACTACAAGTTTTGGAGTGAATTTAAGTTCGCATAATAGCTGTAGGAGGAGATTTGTATAAAATTCTTCCTTGTTGGGGCCTAAACAATCCAGTATGTGTCAAAAAAATTCTGCGTTTATTTTAATTAGCGATGTTTCAGAAAATAAATTAAATGTTCCCTCTTCCAAAGACACTAACCTTTTTGTGCACCAGCTATTGACTATGACCGGACATTTTATTAACGCTTGAGATCTAGTTTATAGGCAATCTTCAGTCGTGACGCTTTTGCACTAGATTATGTTCATTGAGCTATATCTGTTAATGCAGTACAAGAATAATTAAAATAGGTGATTGTCTCTATTTTAATAAAGTTAACACAGTCGAAAAATTCTACGGGTATTAAGTCAAATGCTCTTTCTGGGGAAAAAAAATTCTGTTTTATTTTCTTAAAAACCAAAATAGCAAAGCACACCAATTATTATAATTTAAAAAAACTTAGATTCAAAGAAATATTTTTGTACTTGAAAACGTTGTTTTAAAAGCATTCTATTTACTTCCTTAGATCCATATGTAAAAATTTATTTGCTCTACAACAACCAAAGGATTGCCAAAAAGAAGACACATGTAAAGAAGCGAACTACCAGCCCAGTCTTCAATGAATCTTTCGTATTTGAGGTTCCTTACAATGAGGGTCTCGAGAATATCAGCTTGGAGTTTTTGGTTCTCGATTGGGACAGAGTCACTAAAAACGAAGTTATTGGAAGGCTAGAATTGGGCCCAAAAAGCGGAGGCCCCGCACAACAGCACTGGAATGAAGTGTGCAATGCTCCTCGTCGTCAAATAGCAGAGTGGCATAAGCTGAAAGAATGATAAATCCCAAACGCAAGAGAACTGTTTGAAATGTAAATATGTATATGTGTTTAGTGTAAATGGTGCACCATTAGCATCTGATATTATTTATGTCTGTTGATTGTTCGTGGTTTATCAGGGTCAATTTAAAATTTGTTTCATGTAGTTGGTTGTAATATGAAAGTAGGCATTGAACAGTTGAGGATTTTAGTGGTAAAGTCTGGAAATTGTTGTGATGTTTTTGCGGAAGAAAAAAAACCCATAACATCTTTGTTGAAAACTCATTCGATTGAATATTTAACCATTAATCTTACATTTATACCATATTTGCGTGCAATTTTTCCAAACCAGTTATTTGCCGAAAACAAATGTGTTTTAAACTGGTAAAGGATAGTGCTGTATTATTTAATATTAAATGTTTTTATTTTTAATGCTAATTAACAGTCTGTTTGAATAAAAAAAACATTGCAGACGTTTAAGTTACTGCCCAATTCTTTTATCATGAATGCTTCATATGATTCTAACATTAGTGTTTAAAAAAAATAAATTCCAACCAAATTGAAAACTGAGTAAATGTTTTTGAGACTCAGTTCAATAAATATTATTAATTGAGTTAATGCCATCCTGTAAAACAAAAACAAAATAAAACTAATTTGGATGGGCAATGAAAAAAAAAATAATAATTTGATAAAGCTATAGATTTATACCGTTCTTTAAAAACACAAATTACTTTAAATTTTATCTTCCTTTTTTGTACACATAGATAAATAAAATATACTTTGAAGTACTGAAAGTTTTTTCAACGAATATATTCAAATAGCCAATTTCAAAAAAATTAATATAGAACAAGTAAGCTATTAATGACCATTAAAATTTTTATTTTGCTATATTTTCAAAGCTAAAATTATAACGTTCAAATATAGGTTAAGGTCGAAAAATGTGAACTGGTGATGGCAATTTCATACTTCAAATATTACAGATATAGCAGTCGGGAATTTTATGTTATGTCCACATTATGCAGTCTCACTTTCATAAAAAAATAAATAAAGTGTGCTCTCTTTCAGACTAAAACAGAATTTGATTTTCTTATTATTCATTATTTTGTAACTTTTAAGATACACTTTCATACGTTAAAAACATGGTTAAAAGGATATCTTCTATTCATAAGGGTTTACTTTTAGCAATAAAAGGAAAGCTTAAAAGTTACGATTTTAAAATAGTATGATACACTTTTCAAGGTACCTTTTATTATCATGTACCTTGTTGTTGGACTAGCTTCACAGCTTAGTTTAATTAAAAAGTGAAGTTATACTACGTGTGTGCAAACTTGTAAGTGAAAGCAACACATCATGATTGGGAATGTAAAGCAGCATCTATTACTAAATTGTGAATATTCTTAAAAATATTAAATGTACTGATCCTTCTTCAACAAACTGTTAAATTTATAATAAATCTATGCAAAGCGTTCATGAAGAAGCTAATCAAATTAGAAAACTAAGAAACGTCTTTATAAGTAGGTTACGAATATTACATTACTAGCATGATGAAATGCAAGACATATTACGAGTTAAACAAACATAGTGTGTTATTTATATCTTTGAAAAATAAGTAAATATTATGGCTTCTGGTGCACCTCCAACACTATGTATTGAACAAGTTTAGACTCTCCGAAATGACATGTTTGTCTTTCATTCTCAGTGGCTTCTTTATAAAAAGAAATATGTTTTATGATATATTTTTGTTTCATAACCCTTGAAAATGTTTACAAATTTAGAACAATGAACCCTCACTTTGTCTCACCTCATGTGCTTCGTGAGAAAATAATATATGAATTACATTTTGCAAACAACCTTTGAACAAAATGAACAATTTAATACCATATTTAATAAGTGTACAATGTAAATTTTTGCATGTCTGGACTATGGATTCCTCCGGCATATATGTGCAGTGGTTCATTTTGTAAGTCATAGAGCTTGAATTAAAATTTACTGCGCTGATTAATACTATTTTCAATACCATTTTTAGTCTATATGATGCAATGTTAGATACTCTTTCCCCGTTACTATCATGTAAATGTCAACCCGCATTGTTATCTAAGCACCTACGCAGTGTTTTGGTGAATGTGAGAGCATCTAGTGCAAATGAGTGCAATACTGAATGTATCAAAAAAAGTGTTCGTGGGTCTCGTTACACAGCGATGAACAGTTTAATGATAACATTATAATTCATAATTGAAAAATACCCCAAAATCCATTCTTAAATTCCCCCTTAATATTTCTAACCAAATTTTTTTAAAATTCAAATCACTTAATTTTGAATTTGCAACATATTTATCAATTATGAAAGTATTTTAGAGAAAGAAAACAACAAATATTTTTAAAAAAAATGATAATATAAAATGTTATAGAAATTAGAAGGTATACATTATTACAAAAGTTTTCGTTTAATGCAATCAACCTTTAGAAAAAAAAACTTTACAAAGAAACATTTAGCTTTCAGAATTTATCAAATAAGTAAAACATTTTTAAGCATTCAAAAATGTTAAAAGTATTACTATAAGACTTAGCTCTTTTCAAAATAGGAGCTTAATAATGCTACCATAAAAATTCCTTCAATTACTTAAATTTATAATTCTTTTTATTCTGGTTATCATCAACTTTATTAAAATATCCTAATTTGATTGCAGTGAAAGCAAATGGAAATATAAAAAAAAAAAACTAATATTTAGTATGTAGGAATAAAGAATTACATATGTTGAGCTATAATGAGAATGATAAGGTATGATTATAACTTTTGTTTTTAATTTAATTACTTTTTACTTTCAAATAAACTAAAAATATGAAATGTAAGGTTTTTTTCCCATTCTGGTCTATGCATGAATGTGTGCTTGATAAAAAAGTAGGCTTCAAGTTTTAAGTTGCTGATGTTCCTCGCATTTTTATTATTATTTATGTTATGGATACTATATCTAAAAATGTGTAAAAAGGAAACAAGATTGTAAATGAAAAGTGTAACAATGCAAATAACTCATGCAGAAGGGGCAGAGAAATCAAAATGAATGTTGATATAACTCTGCCTTGTAATTTTAAAAAGTGAATAAAGAAATTTGTGATGATTCATTTGAAGTGGAATTTTTTTTTTTTTTCACAAAAAAGTTTAAACATAAGAACAGATCTAGAATTCATCATGGCTATCAACTATGTGATTACTTAAATCTTTAAACAGCATTAATTAAACTTTAAATAGGTTTGATTTTTTTAAAAAAGCTTTTTTATATAAAAATAGTGAATATTGGAGGAAAATTTTATAGATTAATTGTACGATTAATAATACGATTACTAATAATGTATTAATAATACGATTAGGGCAGCAAAATATAATGGAATTTGTGACTTAAAATTATTTCTAAAGATTATATATATATAAATATATTTCAATGGCAGGCACTTTGGTCTTATTTCCCATTGGCCTCAGAATTGCTACTTTCTTATCGTTACCCAGTGGGCACCTGTGGCTAAGTCACAGCGGTGGAGTAGCGACCCCCACATCATACAACAATGTAACCCGTTAATAGGGCGGGTTACATTCTCACAAAAGAAAGGATATAGAACAGAGAGAGAGAGAAAGTTACATCCATGCCTACGGTGGAATTCGAACCCACAACCACTGGCCCTGTAGTCCAGTACAGTAACCACTAGACCATTGATCGGCTTCTAAAAATTATATAAACCGTTTGTAATTAGTTTAGTATATTAGGTTATCTTTTTGCCAACATAGATTTTTTTAAAGCTTCCTCATGAACTTGGTGTTTTTTTTATTTAAACGATTGAAAACTCCTCATGCACCACAAAGTATAGCACGAGGCTTACAGAAGTAAGTAGAAAACAAAAACAAGAAAATTTACATTAAAAACAAAATTCCGCAAGGCAGCAAGATTTTTGGTAGTTTTGACCAGTTCTAAAAAAACAGGCGGCCAACAAATAGAAAGACGCCTCAAATCAGTCTTTAATTTAATTCAGGCACTCACATACAGATTGCAATGAAGAAGAGTGTGCTCAGCATCCTCATCAACATTGCCGCAAGCACAAATTCCACTGGTCACCAGATGGAAATGAAATAAATATCTCTTAAAAATTCCATGTTTTGCTAAAATTTGGGTTAATTTCGGCAAGTCACGTGTGCTATATTCTTTCTCCGTTAATGGAAAAATTCATAGGCGTTTTTGTAACAATGGATTGGGGAGAATTTTTAACTGTGACTTTCAAATTAGTGTCTGCTTGCAGAGTTTCCGTCTTATCAGATATACGTCTGTAATCATCTGAAATATTACTTAAAACCCTTTATATATTTCAAAGCATTAAACAACATTTTTAAAAATATTTTTTAAAATAGAATTGAATATTTTGATTTACAAATTATTTTTAACGATTTCAGATTCAATAATGAAGAGTTTTTATTTTAAAGATTGCATTATTTAAAATTTCAGGCTCTTATGATTACATATTTGAAATTGTTACAAAATGACCCAAGTACTTTTAAAGATTCCTCGTGAATGACACTAATTTGAAATTCACAACGCGAATGGGGCGTAGCCACTGAAAGGTTTGAATGCTAATGTTTACCTCATGAGTAAGGTTAACTCCAAAGCAAGGGCAGTAGTTCAGTCATGTAATAAACTCTTCTCTGTGCATGTTGGTGAAAGGGAAAACTTTTTTGCACGCTTACGTATCATTTTTTGTTTATATTTAGAGCAATGATGAAGCAGCATCACCAGGAAAATATTTATGTCTTGGTTTTAAGCTCTGACAACAATTAATTTAGCCACCTTACAAAATGAAAATTTGCCCAGCTGCCTATCACAAATCTTTTTTACAATTTCGATATATTTATGCATCAAAAAACACATCTAACCTGCTCATGAAACATAAGTCCGTATAAAGAGTATTTCTATAAAAACAGTTAATAGATAATATAATTGCAATTACCTTGAAAAAAATTATAATTAATTAAAGATAGTGGATTTATTTTGAGAAGTAATAAATAACAAACATGAATTCAAAACAACTACTGATCAAACTGTAATCATAGTTTTGGATTTCAATCCCAAAATTACTTTATAAATGCTAATGAGTAATTAGCAACATCTGCTTTTTTAATTAAAAACCTGTATACCATTGTTCAATTAGCATATTATATGTAAGAAATCATCATGGAGAGGTTACGAACACATAACCAAGTTTTTTTTTATCTTCTTATGCCCCTAGTTTCTCTCCTCTGCTGTCATTAAACAGAGAGAATCTGCTTTGTGATTAGTCAGAAATAGTTCTATCAAAATTAGCCATCAAAGAGAAACTATCGCACTGTTCGCATGATAAAAAGCATTTGAAATGTTACAATTGAATCATGAAACAGACGTTTTTTTTTTAATAAATTGAATGGAAACCAGTAGTTCAATTGAGTATTGTTGCGGTTGCATAAGGGCTAAAATAAGCATAACTTTTATATTTTTTGTAAACCCCAATTTGTTAAAATGCAGAAGATTCACTATAAAATTACTGCAGAAATTACTTAAAATTGTGAAGATTTTTATTTTCAATTTTAATTCCTCATTCAAAAAATTTATAGTACAGTTAATCGGGATATAGTAATAATTATATTCTAATATAATCATTTTAAATAAACTTGAAATAGCTAAAAAAAGTGTTTTTTGTATTTTAGATGCTTAGCATCATATATTTTACATTAATAAATGATTTAAAACATTGGTACAGCGAAAATTCAAGATGTCAACATTTGAGCCAGGCAGAGAGGCTTGCTCAAAGTAAGTTCTAAGAAGGTTAAAGTTTTAAGATACATTTTCAAAACAAAGAAGATTTTATTCTCATTGTAGAAAATGAGGCATAAATGCAGAAAGCTTCTGTAAAATGTAGAAGAGTTGGCAGCTAAGCACCCAAAAAAAATTTTTTAATGAACTTTTAGAAAATAAAAGCATCTCATTTTATTTTTCGATAAATTGGAATCAAACAATTGTAAGAGAATTTTCGTCTGCTTTACAAATAAGCTTTCAGGAGAGTAAATTGAACACAACAATGAAAAATAAATAAATATTTATTAAATAATTATAAAGACCTATAAAATGTAAACATCTTAAAATTCCATATGCTATTCAAATACAATCTTGTAAACATCCTTGTAATGTTCCACAAAATGTACATCCAACCCTTCAGTTATGAACTTTGCTAAATCAGCAAAATCTTTTTTGTTTTCAGCTGGCATTATTAAAGTAGTAACTCCTACTCGTTTAGCCTATAAAAATATAATAAAATATATGAAAGTAAACCTGCAAAAGTTAATGAAGATTAAAAGTATAAAAAAAAAAATTTACTTGCAAAATCTTAGGATAAAATAGAAAATTAAAGAATGCTTATTTTTTAAAAAAAAGTTACAAAATAGTAACACTTTGCTATAAGCTCATGAATTAACAATATAAAATACACAATTAAGAAAGCTTTTTAGTTGTTATTTTATACTATAAAACAGCAGTTTCCAAATTATTTTTTTTGACAATTTAGCCCTAAATGATTGTCCTTCTATTCCCAGAACCCTGACTTCATAAATCAAGTTCATTAGCAATTATGAATATCTAAATCAAAAAAAAAAAAAAAAAAANAAAAAAAAAAAAAAAAAAAAAAAAAAAAAAAAAAAAAAAAAAAAAAAAAAAAGAACTACCGCTAATTATTAAGATATGTACACTAACATTTATGAATGAAAGTTTTTCATTGTTTTATCAATAATAGTCTTTAAATTATGTTTTACTTCAAACAGTTGCATTCACACCCAGTCTAATTCTGAATTTGAGTTAAGAGTATGCACAAATTAAAAAGAGCTGAATATTTATACTTATCATAAAAGTATAAACATAAAAGATCAGTTATAAACGTTGAAAATAGTTATCAAGGAGTCATTTTTGTATTGTTGAGTTTAATTATTTTATTTTTAATTGAAAAGTGAAACGGAAAATACAAATCATATTTTTCACAAATTCATATTTTTTACATAATTTAACCAAAATAATGTTATTAGAAAATATCTATAATTTAAAAAAAAAAAAATAGATTTATTTTCTTACTGGCATTTTTACTTAAGTAATTTAATAAAAAATAACCATAATATTAAATGAATAATGGATTATCAAATAAATATAATATAATTTCGTATTTAAAAAAAAAAGTCTAAACTCTCAAAATCCTTGTGACCCTTCCACGAAACTAAGGTTCTGAGGAACATTTTTTTAAAATTGCAATAAAGTGTAAAAGTATGCACTTATTTTTCACTCTTTTATACTAGAAATAAAAGTCAATAAGTGAGATTCTGAAAGAAACACCTTACTGCCTAAAATAAGAAAAGTAAAACCCCTCAAAATTTTATATTTTATAAACTTCTGCAAATTAAAATTTTAAAAAAAAATGTATGATTAATCAATTGTATGCAGAATTATTGCATAAAAAAAGAAATGATGTTATTGCACAACACTAAAACAACCCTACAAATGTATAAAGAAAGAGAAAATATGTAGATGTTTCCTGGTTATGTAAATTTATTTACCTAAAAAGGGTAAACCTTTTAGTACAATAAGGCACATTGTGTATGTTAATAAATATATGAGATACAGGGCTTTGAAGTACAATGACCGTACTGTTTTTCTTATCTTGTCTAATTTGAGGTGCCCTCTGTTTGACAGCAGAAATATATTGAAGGTGTACTAGTTTTATATTAGGATACTTAACATAATGTGGCAAATGTATACATAATGCGGCAAACTCTATTCTTTTTTCTTTTTTTAAGTAGAACTGGTGCACTATTCAAATGAAGCCTCAGTGTATTGTAATGTTGGCCATGAATTTAATAAGACATTTATTTGTTATACAACATATATTATGTAATTGAATCTAGTATGTAAAAGAAGCACAGTAAATATAAACAAAAATGGAATTTATCCTTAGATTGCCTGTACTACTTCTTTACAGCTTTATAATGAAAAAAAAAATCTTGTTTCAATGGTTATTTTAAGGCAATTTATAGAATATGTTAAAATAAGTTTAAGGTAAGCAATGAATAATTCAATCACAACAATAATCTTTTTCAAAAGAAGATAATTAAAAAACTTACAGCGATTGATTTTTCTTTAATACCTCCAACAGGTAAAACTTTCCCTGTGAGTGACACTTCACCAGTCATTGCTGTATTTTGTTTTACAGATTTTCCCAGGGCTAAAGATAATAATGCAGTAACCATTGTGCAGCCAGCACTAGGTCCATCTTTAGGAACTGCACCCTGTAACACAGAAGTTTAAATTTTTTTTAAACCTTATCTTTTACATACATAAATTAATATTTTTTCTCGATATCACATTAAATAATACAGACTTAACTTTTAACTGTATTATTGGGTGTTATTACATTAATAGATGTAATTAATTTTACAAAAAGAAAGTTATATTTCTATATATTCATCAGATCTACAATAATGAAATAGTTCAAAATATTGTGATATTGAAATACGAAAACTGAATTTAATATTTAAAGTACAAATTGAAATTTATCTGCTTGAGATATTAATTATACTTCTATGCAATGAACCTATAGCTTGAAATCTATGAAATAGGCAAGGTTTCAAAGCTTAAAAACCTCTAAGCATTATGGAATCAGCAACTATGCCAGGTGAAATATACCATTCCAATATATTATTGCTTTCTAAGACATGAATTAAAAAATTACATTACATTTTTAAGGGATTACACAACGCATTAGAAATTCGATATGCCGTTTCGTGTCTGAATTATACTTCACAAGGTCATAAACTGGCCATAGATATGAACAGCATGTAATTATTGCTAATGGGGTTTTTTGTAAAGAAAGTCAAACTTTTTTTTCTATATTTTTGACTTTGTCCTTCTTCCCTCTGTCACAACGTAATAACACTTCACTATAACCCTACTTGCTTAGTCACAAGTCATGCTATATTATAAAAACGTATCTATCAGTTCAGAAATAAAACACATGTTATAGATAATATTTAAAACTCATTTTTTGACAATTCATTGACAATAAGTTCATTATTGTGCTTTAATGCCATTTGTGAGCATAACAATAATGATTAGATATGTACCTGTTTTAATGAAAAAGGTGAAAAATAATTTTAAAATATTTAATTTGCTGATTTAAATATTTAGATTTGAATCAACTTTCACAATTTCCATAACCCCTCTTCACTAAGTGTGTCATCGTTAATGACTGCCCAAAATATGCACATATTTCCTTAAATATTGAATATAATATTATCATAACAAAGAACTAAAATACTTAATATAAGAAACAATTCAAAATATTACTTTTTATGAAAATAGTGTAACTATAACATAAAAATAAATACAAAACCTGATTCATTTCACATGTTAAAAAACATATATACCATTAATGAGAGAAGACCTAGTTTTTATCAGCAAAAATAATTCAAGTCAAATTTTAATGAGGAGACGATATGGAAAAACACTTTCATCTATACAATATGGGTCTTGATCAAAAAAGAACTCTAATATTTGCTAAAAAAATTTAAGAACTTGTTTCAATATTTTGACACTCATTCTTGTATGAAGCAAAATAATTTTTCAATAAGGGGTAATTACTATTTTTCTACAACTGAACTAAGTTTAAATCTAAAGAATACTTACTTCGGGTACATGCAAATGTAAATGAGCCTTTTGCAAGAACTCATTTTCAGGTTGTTCTTGAAGCAAGAATGACTTAGCAACAGAATATGCAATGTTTGCACTCTCTTTCATGACATCCCCTAAATGTCCAGTGATCTGTAATGAGCCTTCATATTTCTTTTCTTCAATTAAAGGTTTGTACTTAGTAGTTTCTATGTAAAGTGTAGATCCACCTTTAATAAAATGCAATCATAAATGAAGAAAGCACTTTGGACACAACAACTAAAGAATAAGCATTAATAGGAATTCAATAAGGCCAACTCATGTATAAGTATTGATACTGTATTAAATTTTAATTGCATTCTTTTAAGTGAAGGATTAAAAACATTCAAAACAGTTTTTTTAAAACATGTTGTATCGTGTTATGCATTCACATATAGTAACATTATGTAAATTTGAATTACAAAGTAGAATTTTTGAATACAAATTTACATTTAATTGCTTTCAGTTTAAAAAGAAATAAACTGGCAATATAACTGACAAATAAACTATATGAAAAGCATCTACTGCCCTGCTAAAGTAAAATAAAGCAGACAAGAATAAAAGAAACACAAATAAAAAAGTTAAAAAGCAGAGATAAAATATTTTCTTTTCTTCAGTCTATGTCTTGGCACTAGAAAATAATACTAGTTTCTACGACAGAAATGGCAGTTTTATTTTTCATTTTTTTATAAATAAATAAATAAATTATTTTAATTGTTCATCTAAATTTATTATTTGCATTATTTTTTTTTTACTCTTGCAATAATTAAATTTAACTTCTGGTGCATTATTGAAATACTCCAAAGAATGGTGATAAAAAAAAACTAATAAATAATAATAAAAGTGCGATAATAAATGTTTAATTTCATTATGGGAAGGAAATAAGCATGAGGACAAAACTGCAATAATTGAATCACTGCAACAGTAGAAATTTTTTTTTCTCTGTACTTTAAATTTAATTCTGGTTTAATGTTCACTGGTAAAAGTATTTATACCATTCATTCATAATATATATGAATGGTATTAATAATATCATTCCATAGGAATTCATAAAAGTTTTTTTAACTTGGAAATTTCAGGAATCATTAATTAATGTTAAATGATAATATCTACTAAAGTAAAAAGTTGTATTCAATTTAAACAGTTAAAAATTGATTATTAAAAACCATTACAATATTATTAATTCAAATAAAGAAACCATATGGATAAATTTTAAACGTTTAAATAACTAAAATGGTTTAATGCTCTCACATAATACTTAATAAAAATTTATGCCACAGTTAAGAAAATAGAAAAATTTATAATATAGAGAAAATTTCATTTCTATTGAATAAACTTATACTGTCTAATATAAATGACTTAAAATTTTATACCCATAGCAGTCCAAGCCAATCCCATCACAACACCAGGTGGAGTACTTTCATACAATCGGTCATGTGTAAAAACTGGCTTGCCAACATAATCTTGTAGGTTTTGATCAGTAATCTCTACTGTAGAAATTTCTTGTTTAACTATACTATATGCAGTCTTTCTAAGAATCTGAAAATGAGAGAGAAACTTAATGCAATACTGAATAATTTTATGAATTAAACAATTAAAATAGGGTTGTCAGTAAAGTACAGTGCTTAATATATGAATAATTCTCTATAAAAGAAATGAATATATATTAGTTTTTCCATAAAAAATAAAACATAAGCATTTGACTTTTTAAGTTGTGAAATTTATAGTAATGTGTTGGGAGAGATGTTTTTCCAACTCAATGCAACAAAACTGGAACTGAAGTAATATTCACAAGATATAAGTTTAATATCATTCATAATGACAAATTATTTAGCGATTGGTAAAAATTATATAATAGTTTTCTTTCTTATAAGGGAAGAAGACACCATTAAGCTGTATTCCAACTCACAATATTTTTTTATTCTATAAAGTGAACAATTTTACAAATATAAAGATGATATGATTTAATTTATGGAATAAACAATAAGTAAATTCAATTAATTCTCTATAAATTACTATGCATTTAATAAACATTATTTCTAAATATTACATGCTAAAATAGAAGGCAATTATGAACATTTTTGTTCTAATTTAAAGTAAAAAATTGGAAAAAAAATGAGAGTATACAGTTGTTTCAAAATTATCAAAGAAATATAATGGATGCCTCACTGATCACATTTGCAAATTTATGGATAGTTTATGTTTTTTTCATTTTTGTACAAAAACATGGCATCAAAATGAAATATATAAGGTAGAAAACATTCTATATTTGAATGGCATTCATTTCAAAGACAGTTAATTGGAGAAGTTAAGATATTTAACTGAAAAATAATTTCTGGAAGAAAAAAAAACCAAAAAGCTACAACTAATTATTAAGTACATAACATTTTTTTAAAAAAAGAATAGCATTTCTTTCATTGTTTCTATAATTAGTTGAAATAAAATTTTTAGTTGATAAAGAACCAATAAGATGAATGAATCTAATGGAAAATCTCAACGCTTGCTTTTTCATGCTTTAAAATTGATAAAATGCTAATTAGGTACAACTCTTAATTTAAAATAACGAATTATATGGATTACTAATAGACATTAAAAATTTGGAAATGGCTAGAGGATCATCAGTTTAAATACTATTGAGTTAAATGCAAAAAAAAAGAAAATTCTTTGAAGCACACTAAAAAATAAAATAAAATTTAATAGATGTCAAATGAAATGCATAATCTACATAACACACAAACTTACCAATTAATAAAAAATAGTTACTCACTTTTTCAATATGTTTTTGTAAATTTCTAACACCACTTTCTCTACAGTATGCTTTTATTAGTTTTTGCAAAGCATCTTTCTCAATTTTAACTTGTTCATTAGATACACCAGTAGATTCTCGTGCTTGAGGAATAAGATAATTCTAAAAATGAAAGGTAATTTTATCATTATGGAAATATAATTATATTTTCCATAATATAACTCTGCAAGCACTAATATCTGATGGTTACTAATTTTTATTTTATAATAAAAGAATATGGAATATTTAATTTTCTTAACTTTTTAATATTTAAAACTTTAAGTATATATATATAAAACAAAAGATTATTCTCAAATGCCAGAAGTAATGAAAGCTAGGGGAGGGAAGCAATAATAACATTCTATTCTCTGCAAAAAAAATAAAGTATTAAAGAAAGAAACATAATATGATGAAAAATGTCTACATGATTTTTTAAAGAAACAGGAACTCAAAAATATTTCTTTGCCTTCATTTTTAAAAGAGGGTGAAAAATAGTACGGCTGAGAAAAGTGGAATAAAATCATACTTGCCAACATTGGAGAAATAAAGTAACAGAGACTTTACTAGTGACATTTTTTAGACTACATGTATAATTTTGATATATCATGCACAAACATGTAAGTAAAAAATAGAAATGAAAAATTGGAAATGATATAATCACTTACATTAAAGGCAATAAAAATATGTACATAAATCTCAAACTAAAGAAGATTTATTTAAAGCATAAATCATTATTTCTTATACAATAAGCGCTCAATATCAAAATAGTTTTCATAATTTTTAATAAGTTTTATTTTATAGAATTTTCACATATTCATGTTTCGAACATAAGTAGCTGATTTGGCTCTGATTAGGAAATTTTTATTAAAGTTATGTTCATAACAGTTACCAGAAAAATTAGTTTTTATAAAAAGCAAGCTTACAAGCTTTTTATCAGAAAGTGATAAGTGAAACTGGGAAAATGTCCCTAACATAACATCCCTAACATAATATCTGTAATATTTTGGANGAGAGATGTTTTTCCAACTCAATGGAACAAAACTGGAACTGAAGTAATATTCACAAGATATAAGTTTAATATCATTCATAATGACAAATTATTTAGCGATTGGTAAAAATTATATAATAGTTTTCTTTCTTATAAGGGAAGAAGACACTATTAAGCTGTATTCCAACTCACAATATTTTTTTATTCTATAAAGTGAACAATTTTACAAATATAAAGATGATATGATTTAATTTATGAAATAAACAATAAGTAAATTCAATTAATTCTCTATAAATTACTATGCATTTAATAAACATTATTTCTAAATATTACATGCTAAAATAGAAGGCAATTATGAACATTTTTGTTCTAATTTAAAGTAAAAAATTGGAAAAAAAATGAGAGTATACAGTTGTTTCAAAATTATCAAAGAAATATAATGGATGCCTCACTGATCACATTTGCAAATTTATGGATAGTTTATGTTTTTTTCATTTTTGTACAAAAACATGGCATCAAAATGAAATATATAAGGTAGAAAACATTCTATATTTGAATGGCATTCATTTCAAAGACACTTAATTGGAGAAGTTAAGATATTTAACTAAAAAATAATTTCTGGAAGAAAAAAAAACCAAAAAGCTACAACTAATTATTAAGTACATAACATTTTTTTAAAAAAAGAATAGCATTTCTTTCATTGTTTCTATAATTAGTTGAAATAAAATTTTTAGTTGATAAAGAACCAATAAGATGAATGAATCTAATGGAAAATCTCAACGCTTGCTTTTTCATGCTTTAAAATTGATAAAATGCTAATTAGGTACAACTCTTAATTTAAAATAAAGAATTATATGGATTACTAATAGACATTAAAAATTTGGAAATGGCTAGAGGATCATCAGTTTAAATACTATTGAGTTAAATGCAAAAAAACAGAAAATTCTTTGAAGCACACTAAAAAATAAAATAAAATTTAATAGATGTCAAATGAAATGCATAATCTACATAACACACAAACTTACCAATTAATAAATAATAGTTACTCACTTTTTCAATATGTTTTTGTAAATTTCTAACACCACTTTCTCTACAATATGCCTTTATTAATTTTTGCAAAGCATCTTTCTCAATTTTAACTTGTTCAATAGATACACCAGTAGATTCTCGTGCTTGAGGAATAAGATAATTCTAAAAATGAAAAGTAATTTTAATCATTATGTAAATATAATGATATTTTCCACAATATAACTCTGCAAGCACCAATATCTGATAGTTACTAATTTTTCTTTTATAATAAAAGAATAAAGAATATTTTATTTTCTTAACTTTTTAACATTTAAAACTTTAAGCATATACATTTAAAACACAGGATTATCCTCAAATGCCAAAAGTAATGGGAGAAATAGGGGAGAAATAATAACATTCTATTCTCTGCAAAACATCTCTGTAGTATCAACTCTGCAGTATTAAATGAAGAAAACAGACAATACGATGGAAAATGTTTACATGATCCCACACTAAATTTAATTCCGTTCATAAAATTTTTTTAAAAAGAAGGGACCGAACGTGGTTCGGATAATGAAAATATCGGATAATTGGAAAGTTGTTTAAAATCTAGTTTAAATGATTATTATTTATGCACTAGCTTCCCTTCTCATTTTTTCCAAACTTAGGTTTGGCAGTACTATCTAAAATAGCTCTGGCGTGTTTAAAAGTATTCTTTTTTTCAATTTTGAAATGTTTTTTATTTATAAATTTTTTTATTTTGAATTTTTTAAATCATATTTCAGCTTTTTATAATTTTTTTGTCAATGACTGATTTTACCACATTTTTCTTTATTTTCCATTGCAAAAGAAATCCAGCAAAGACTTTTGTTTCAAAGAAATGCTCTTTTTTTTGAGCAGCTATATCCCTTATTCTTTTTAAATAAATCAACTGAACTGGATCAACATCATTTTGACTTTCTAGACTTTCAAATTGAAGTTTGCACTCTTGGAAAATAATTAAGAGGGGTAAAGGGGTAAGTAGGTTTAACTGTATAATAATACATGTATAAAATGGCTACTAAAACAGGTTGTAAATTAAATATGGTCATCAAATGTAGTGGATATTATTTATTCTTCTAAGTATAGAAAAATTGTCAATAATTTAAAAAGTATTCTAAACTTTAAAAAAAAAAAAAATTAAAAAAAGAATTCGGACATAGTTTGGATAATTGGACGTTCGAATAATCGGCGCTCTACTGTATATGATTAAATTGCTGCTATAAGTCTACAAACAAAATATATATCATTAATATTTGAATATGAAAAACATTTATATATTTTTATTTTTTGCAACACAGAAGAGAATGAAGATTGGTAGAGAAAAAGCCCCCATAAAGATAGACAAAATGCCCCACACAGAATGGAATGTTCGCCCTTGAGAATATCAACAAGTTTCACCTCAGCAATGGATATTTTTTCTTCAGCAACATATCCTGAAACTTCAATCATTTCCATACGGTCTCTCAAAGGTTCTGGAATGGTATCTGTGACATTAGCAGTACAAATAAATAGGACCTAAAAAAATTTAATGTTATTGTCATTAGTTTAAAAAAATGAAATGTTATATTTTTAAAAATTATATAGTAATCTCTCTTTAATGCGGTGTATTGCAATTAATATGAACTCATAGAAAAAGGTATTATTGTTTGACGTATCCAAAGTTTGAATAAACAAAAATATCCAATGATTAAAAAAATAACGATAATTACAATATCACAGAATTGTATTTAAATAAGATATTTAAAAAGAAATAGACCAGTCATAAAATGACTTAATTTTAATGATGATCTACAAATTGGATAATATTATAATAAATTAGAAATTTATAAACTTTATTGATAACAATTATATATGAAGGGTTATATAATTTTAAGTTTAGACACAAATTGACCTAAAGAAGGCTTTTAAGAATGATAAAAACATGATTTTTATAAAGGCAATAAGAAGTTTCTGTGTATTGTGCTGTTATTAAAATTATAGAAACTTCTATAGAACTTATCAAAAATCAATATTGAGGATTAGATTGTAAAAATATCCCCATAAATAACAACTTATGTCTTTAATATATGTGCTTTTTATCTAATTTTTATTTAATATAATAATTTTTATTTTATTTAATAATTTATGCACTTTATATTGACACATACACTGATGGAACCAAATAAAAATTAGTGGTGACTGTTTACTTAAATTGGTTGAATTTCACCTGATTTCTAAAATCTTGTGATTTTAAAATTAACAATCTAAAATAAGATTTTAATTAGTTTAGAAAGCAGAAAAATTTACTGGTGTCCTCTAATTGGACTTTGAAGCAACCGAAATTGTGAAAAATATTTCAAATTAAAGATGAAATGAAAACTTTGGTATACATAAGAAATACTAAAAGATTAAAGTCACATTATATACTCAGTCACACGTGCAATAAGGCATTTACTCAAACTTATAATGATGAGAATTAAAAGAAACTGAGCAATTATAAAAAAAGAACGGAAAATTTATTATTGGGGCAATCAATGCTATAAATGTGAGAAAAGAAATGTAAAGATATTTATGGAAAAGAGATTTTAAAAATTGTTAAAATAAGTGGTTATTATTAATATGAAATAAATTTTACATGCATTGCAAAAAGGTATCTCAAGTCATTGCATACAGTACAAATATTATAAAAACACTGCCAAAAAATGCAGTTTAAAAATTAAATCTTAAAAATTAGTTTACAAGATTTTGAATCTGCCCTATTTGGAACTTTATTACATTCATGTAGCATATTTATAATTACATACTTTAATACATTGAAAAGTAAAATCCTTAAACTATAAGCTGTGTATAGTACATAAATATCTTAGTAAGTTATGATACAGAATATTTGTAAAATGAACTTTTCTGTTTTGTTCTATTGCATGAGATTTTTAAATGGATCTTGAAAATTGTCACATCGCTGATTTCAAATCTGTAATCAGTTTCTCTCCATTAGCTCCAGTATTTTTTCAAATAACATTTTTAGTCAAAATGTACAAGTTTAAAAACATTTATAACAGGAGGTTGCACAAATGTTGCGACAAACTTCCAGGGGAGTTAGGGCACATTAGAAGGATTAAAATTGTACAGGAACACACGCCCTGAATTCCTATCGTATGCCACTCTGGATTTTTCCTATTACTAGCTATTTTTTGGGTGCTTCTGAACAGGTCAGGAAATAACAGGCATAAGGAAAGGGCCCCAATCTACATAGGATGACATTTCTGAGCATGAGTTCCTATGCAATAATAATCCTGATGATGTGCCATAACTCTCCTAAAAGTTTGTCATAATATTTATGAGACCTTCCATTAAATATGTTTTTAAACATACATGTCTACAGAAAATAGACTAAAAATATGATTTAAAAAAAATTGTAGCATTAAGAACTAAACTAATTTTAGATTTGAAGTCCCAACACCCAAATCAGGCAAGAACATAAGATCAAAGATAGTAGCATAAGTGCAACAAAAAATTTGCTCTCCAGTGTTATCATTGGAATTTTTTGAGAAGGGAGATGAATGGGTAATTTTATGTTTTTTATGCATCATTTCCTATATTAATTTAAATTTTTCTGAATGTGTTAGGTTACTTATATTTTATGACATGCTTTACACCTTCAGTGCATTAAACAAAAGTTAGTAAACATGTTGATATAAATGTGAATTATTCCAGTTTGCAATAACGACATTCACAAACATTAATATGAAAAGTAATTTTCTTTAAAAATTATAATTATTTCAAGATTATTCTATAGCTGATAATGAAATCTGCAATCGGAAGAAGATCTACAGATTCAAATATTGTTTTCATAAAATTTAATTTAGGGATTGGGTATTGTTTTAAACATTTGGGGGAAAAAGTTAAGGAAATAAACATAAGCGCAGTTTACTTTTGATAAATCTACAGATACATCCAAGTAATGATCTAAGAAGTTTGAATTTTGTTCCGGATCTAAAACTTCTAATAATGCAGATGAAGGATCACCTTGATATCCCCGGCCAATTTTATCAACCTAAATTCAGATTAAATAAATAATATTAACATAAATACAATGCATAAAAATGCAAAATAAAAGTATAACTCAATAACAGAATTTATGAAAAATAATATCAACAATTTTCAAGTCAGTCTGAAGCAAACTTTAAGCATGACATTTTCATACAGAGAAAGTTTTGTTCCAATAAACTTAGAGTGAAAACCTGCCATGCTAACCCCTTTTAAGTTGAACACCTGTTTATGTTAACAACTATTATCAAGAACTGAATCAAACCTATATAACAAAAAGGTGCAAAATCTTTGTAACCTGATCACCCATATTGACACCAGAAAAAAAAAAAATTCAGAAATTTTCTTTATCATTTATGCATTAGAATTTCCTTAAATTCCTAAAACATTACAAAGGAAAAAAAAAGAAGAAAAAAAAACACAAAAGGATTATATAGTACTACATAAAAACCTTTGGGAGTTCATCTTATGGAATATCTATTAAGGGCATTTTTACAACAAATATTATTTTGCATATATATATGTATAAAAAAAATTTAAAATGTTGAAACACACATAATGTTTGCTAATTTTTTATGCATTCTTGTGCATTGACATATTAAGAAATTATTTATAATAAAAAACTGGCATTCATTATCATCAATTAAAAAAAATTTAATCAGTTCAATATTAAATCTATGTCAGTTTAATACTAAATCTATATCTGTATGCTCCCGANCATAAAAATACAAAATAAAAGTATAACTCAATAACAGAATTTATGAAAAATAATATCAACAATTCTCAAGTCAGTCTGAAGCAAACTTTAAGCATGACATTTTCATACAGAGAAAGTTTTGTTCAAATAAACTTAGAGTGAAAACCTGTCATGTTATCCCCCTTTTAAGTTGATCACCTGTTTATGTTAACAACTATTATCAAGAACTGAAATAAACCTATATAACAAAAAGGTACAAAATGTTTGTAACCTAATCACCCATATTGACACCAGAAAATCTTTATCATTCATGTATTAGAATTTCTTTAAATTCCTAAAAGAGTACAAAGGAAGAAAAAAAGAAAAGAAAATGCAAAAGGATTATATAGTACTACATAAAAGCCTTTGGAAGTTCATCTTATGGAATATCTATGAAGGCATTTTTATAACAAATATTATTTTGCATATATATGTATAAAAAAAAATTAAAAATGTTGAAACACGTATAATGTTTGCTAATTTTTTATGCATTCTTGTGCATTGACATATAAAGAAATTATTTATAATAAATAACTGGCATTCATTATCATCAATTTAAAAAAAACTAATCAGTTCAATATTAAATCTATGTCAATTTAATACTAAATCTATGTCTGTATGCTCCTTATTGCCAACTCCTCAACCCTGAGGAATTCACAGCGTCGCGGCTTGACACTAACCTAGCTTCCTCCAGCAGCATTGCTTAAAATTTTTGGTTCCCCTTCATTGACTTGGCACTTTACAGCTCCTCATTGATTATTCTCAAGCAGTTAAATGAACAATTTCAACAACAGAAATGGACAATTTCAGAAATAGAAATTGGGCTGTGTGCAAAAATCTTTTAAGTTAATTCAAAGGAAATACTTGAGTACTGAAAAATCATTTTAAAAATTCAAATGAACACATAAAGATGGACGTGTACCTTTATTTCAAATTTTAAAAGTGACCTTAATTTAAAACAATGTGTCACAACTACACACTAACTTTTTGTTTTAATATCTGTTCAGACTAATTTTGGTTTTATTTTACTCAATGTGTTGAAAATAATAAATTTTTGAATAACATTTTACAGTAAATATGTAAAATATTCTCATATCTTTAACAAGTACAAAATAATTCAAATATACACATAAATGAGCAAAGCATAGAAAAACACAAGTAATTTAAATCCATAGAACAACTAGAAATTAAAAACTCACTTCATCAATCAAAATAAGGGGATTTTCTGTTTTAGTTTTCTTCAAACATTGGATAATTTTCCCAGGCATTGCACCTATATAAGTTCGTCTGAAAATAAAAGGGTGTGTAAAAATAAAGTAGTTAAGAAACTTAAAAGGAAGTTTCTAAACTATGGGTGCATAACACAGATCTTAACTTTGAATTTAATTAAACATTTTTTAATTAAATTTTTAAAATTTACAGATTTAATTAATAATCCTGCCTAGTGACAGAAATAAATATAAATTATTGCAAACGTTTTCTATAAATACCTCATAAACATTATTTTTCCTAATCAAAAGGACACCAATTTTGGGTATGGAATTTGGTATGGGTATGCAATTTAGAATTGGAATTGATTCTTCATACATACTATTAAATGAATGAGAATGTTTTTTAAATAATATTTACATGTGCAAATAAAAATAAGAAAATAAAGTTTCAATAAGCTGATTATTTGATAACAACCATAACAAATTTCTTCAATTAATTGTTATATTTTACAGTGAAAAAGATTTTTAGAAAACATAATCTAGAGTTACGATGCATATCCAAATTCAATGATCCAAACAGATGTATTATTTTAACAGAAAATAGATGAAAGTTAGAACTTTAAATTTATTTATTCAAATAATATTTGAAATCTTTTAAAACATTTTCTAAGGATTTAAAAAAATATATATTTTGCAATAGAATGCCATTTTATCCCATATGAAATAGCCAACTTACTGAATCATGTAATGAACACAAGGCAGATAGTTTTTCCCCTGAATTTATTGTTTAAGACAATATGTTGTTCTACAGGTCAATAAAAAAAAACTGCTATAAGGTAAACATTTTTAAATTGAAGAATACTTTGCATAAGTAATAAATATTTAGCACATATAACATAAATATTTATAGAATTTAAAATAAACTATAGTTAATATTTATAGAATACGCCCCACTTCTTTAGATGCACCCAATCTAAAAAAATAATTTAACTAAAAGCATACCTATGTCCTTTTATTTCAGCAATGTCAGTCATTCCTCCTACACTAAATCGATAATACTGCAATAAAAACCAGAAAGTTCACCAGAAATTGAAAATCATGGAATAGTCACATACACTACATTTTAAATTTTACTTACATTTCTATTTAAAGCACGGGCAATAGATTTAGCAATACTTGTTTTACCAACACCTGGAGGACCATGGAAACAAAGTATTTTACCTTGGGTACTTCCTCTTAGTTTGCTTACAGCAATAAATTCCTATTGAAAAAGAGAAATGAATGAAACTCTTATAATTAATAACAATAGAAAATAATACAGTAATGGATTCCCAATGAAAAAAAAAATTATTCAGTATTTATTAAAGTATATAAAACCACAACATTTACTAATCTTAACTGATAAACAGTACTACTTTCATAGTAAATTACCTTGTCACAACCTGTAATCATTAGCTTGTTATAGAATATTTGCTATAGATGCATGTATAAAAAAATGAAGGAAATAACAATAAGAACTAACCCTTAATTGCACCATATAAACAGCATGGCCCTATTAAGTATTTGGTAAAATACTTAATACTTAATAATAATAATAATAATTACATAGTCATATTTGAATTTTTTAAAATTATAATTAATAATTATATTTACCTATCATAATTAATTAATATACGAGAGCATGTACTTAAGTTTTTAGAATCTGGAAACAAAAACACAGCTTTTTTCAGCACAGTCAATTTGTTTATTAAAATTCAAGCATTTACGCGATCGTCTGCATTTATAGAGCATCAAAAGCTGTGAAATTCTATTAACTGAGATTTTTCAAAAGACCTAAGTGTTAAGTAATTATAGAGATGTCGAAGGAATTTTAGAGCCAAAATTTTTCATGAATTTAGACAAGGTTTGACACACAAACAGTGTAGCGATAGAATGAAATTGACGTTTGGCAGTGAAGCACCATCGAAAACAACAATTTACAACTGGTTAAAAGAATTCTCCCGCGGTCGTGAGGATCTCAGTGGTTGAGAGGATCAACCAAGAAATGCTGTGACTCAAAAAACATTGAAGCTGTGAGAAAACTAATTGCTTCTGATTGTCACATGACATATGATGAAATAGAAACATCTTTGCACATTTCAAGGACTTGCGTATATTGAATTTTATATGATCATTTAAAGGTGAGAAAAGTGTGTTCCCACACTTTATTTCACGCTCAAACAGATACTCATGTGAAATGATGCCAGGAAAATCCAAAAAAATTCAACCTCAGGTGCCTCTAAACATGTGTACGATATCATAACATGTGACAAAACCTGGATTTATACTTATGACCCTGAAACAAAACAACTTTCCACTGTTTAGGTATTTCCAGATGACCCAAGGCAGATAAAAGTTGTTCGGTCAAGGAGTGCTTCCAAAAAAATTATTGCATCTTTTTTTGGTAAATCTGACTACATTGCAACCGTTCCTTTGGAGGATTGTAAAACAGTCACTGCTCTTTGGTATATCACAATTTTCTTGGCTTAATTAGTTACAGAGGTAAGAAAAAAACTACTCAAAACGTCACATCATTTTGCACAAAGACAATGCAAGCTCACACAAAGCTTCGCTAACTATGGATTATTTGAAGCACAAAAAAATTGAATTGATGACTCATTGTCCGTATTCACTGGACTCTGCTCCAAATGACTTCTTTTTATTTCCGTTTACAAAAAATAAAATGCATGGTCAACGTTCTAACAACCCAGAAGAGGCAGTTGTGGCATACAAATGCCATGTTTCTGCTGTGCCACGTTCAGAGTGGCATAAATGCTTCGAGAATTGGTTTATTTGAATCCAAAAATTTATCAATGCTGCAGGAGAATACTTTGAGAAGCAATAAAACATATACTTTCAGTAAGAAATTATTTCTTGTATTACCTTCTAAAAAAGATACTCATAGTATCTGATGGGAAGTAAGCATGATATATTTCTGGATCATTAAGGGTTAGTACAAGAATTTCTCAATTTTTTTAAAACTTTATTTCTAAAAAAAAAAAAAAATTGTGAGANATGCCTACAAAAAAACATAAGTATATTAAACAATTGTAGAGGACAGTTACCAAAATTCTTTTCTTCACATCTTCCATCCCATAGTGATCCTCTTCCAGAACTTGAGATGCTCGATCTAAATCCATATTTTCTTCACTAGTTTTTCCCCAAGGTATACTTGTCAACCAATCCAAATAATTGCGAGTAACCCTGTTATTAAAAAATGTTTAAAGATAACGCTTAGAAAGTTTTCTTAAAAAATAGCTTTTTTTCTATAAAAAATTGTCTAATATTAACTTACTATGATATAATAATAATAATCTAATATTATCTATAATCTAATGTTATCTAGCATAATCTAGTGTTATCTAGCATAATCCATTATTATCCCTACACAATAACATGCCTATAATCTTATATTAACTTACTAACTAATAGACATTCTAATATAAACAAATAATTTACGATTTTGCATAAATAAATGTGGTATAATAACAAACTTTTTTAAGTAAGTTTTGTAAATTTAGTAAGAAGGGGATAGAAGGACAGAATGACACAAAATAAAATGGCATAAATAATTGAGACAAACAACATGCAGTGGAAAATCGCAAGTCAAAAGTCGTCTAAACTTCAACTAAAAGATATTTTTCGTATAATGACCTTTAAGGTATATAAAAATCAAAACATGCGATATACAGCTGAAACGTAAACCTTGGTGTTGTATAGAATTTTGTGTTACATCAATCATTTCTCACAACATTAAACTTACCAGCTAAACATGTTAATATATGTCTGAAACAGTCTATTATTAATGCTTTAAAATAATTTTTATATACAAACACAGTAAACTTCCGATTATCCGTGTTCACGTTTTTTCTTTTTTGGCAATGTTAAACAACATAGGATTTAGAAATGAGATTAAATAAATTCATCGAGATGGAACTATTTTAAAAGTTTTGATAACAACGTTCTAGCAAACATTCATGTTCATTGCCCAGGGTCTACATTTAAACATTGTAGCTTTAACAGCAATACTTAAGTAAAAGCAAGCATTGAAAGGGTGAAAATGACTAGGCCAGTGATTCTCAACCACTGTGCCGCGGCACTTTTGTGTGCCGCCAAATATTAAAAACGATACAATAAAAATTATAATGGTCTTTTTATTATGAGTAAAGTTTAAATTAAAGAAAAGTGTATATATATATATATATNTTTATAATTTTTCCACGCTTTAACCGCGTGAATATCTTTGTCAGCGATTGTCTTGTCTCGGACAATCTCGAAATGAGTTAAAATAAGATGGAAGTGTTTAAACTGTCTTCGACACACAATTTTAAAAAAATGTTGAAATGAGTAGGAAAATTAACGACTATTAAAATTATTAATAACAAAGAAAAGCAAGCTAAATATTAACTTTCAAGCAGAAATAAAAGCTAATCATTAAAGTAAGCTATGCAATTAATAAACAAACTAACAATGGATAACTAAAAAACAAATATATAAAAAACAAACTGACAAAGGATAACTAACAAAAAAAGAAGCTAACAATTAATAATTAGCAAAACGACTAGTTAACAAGAAATCACAAGAAAATAACAGTTAATATAAAAAAAACTAACAGTTAATAGCTATAGAAAACAAGCTAACAATTAATAACTACAAAAAAATTTTAAAAAAAACTGTTACTAACTAATAAGAAATTAGTTGAAAGAAATAATTATTCCTTTAATAAACGTGCTTTTGTAGCACATATTATTTTATTTCACATTCAAAATTATTATCACAAACTAACTATTTAACACAGTGTATTATAGGTAAGTAAACAACTTTTAATCTAATTTTTTTATTGTGTGCCGTCAAATTTCGAAATCGCTGAAAGTGTGCCGCAACAAAAAAAAGGTTGAGAATCACTGGACTAGGCATTCATAAAAAGCCAGGCAAGATGAGTCATGATTTACAGTTGAACTACAAGGGTGGGATGAAGTTCAAATTTCAATGAATAGATTCTGCACCCGTCAAAGCAGTTTCTTCTCCTAGATCATATTGTTGCTATTCAGAGCAATGGTATTTATAGTAATTAAAGAAATGTAGTTTTTTTTTTTTTTTTTTTTTTTTTTTTTTTTTNTTTTTTTGTTTTTTTTTTTTTTTTTTGACTTGCTTTCAAATGCTGAATGGGATGAGCTATCCTCAGTTGTTTGTTTAGTTCACATGTAACACATTCTTGGAACTCTTATCAGTTATAAAATTGATAACTTACAAAAGAGGGTGGTCCCCACACAACACTCATACCCCTGAAGGAAAAAGAATGACACAGGGCCTTGAATTATTCATGGGCTATATGCATGATTTCAAAATTGTTGTCAGTTGTTTATTTTAAGTTTTGTTATTGATAAGAACATCTAAAAATCATGTTTGCACAGTAACTTATTATAAGAACTAATTTATGTGTTCTGAACATCGTTTTGTACATTAATTTTTCAATAGTGCATAAACACCCAAGTTAAACCATACGATGATTCAATTGTGATGCAAATGATCAGGGAATAAAACATTTAGATCACGCTAAGAAAAAAAAAGTTATGATACAGCTCTATCATATATGGAAGGACTAATTCAATACATAGAGAAACTATGCAAAGCAAGAACAATAAGCAGTTAAAAACTTCCCACTTGGAATTCGATAATCCTACCACAGGCTGCTTTATTCCTCCCATCTAAGTTCAAATATGGGACTTGGTATTGTAATAGGTTAGAAAAATAATTATTTGTCACTTTTCATTTCAGTTCTATTGCTTATAAATATATTTACCTATCCCTGAAAGCTGAAACTCTCACATGAGAAAATACATGTTTTACTTAAATCATAAATTTTTTAAAAACTAAAAAAGCTAAACTGTAGAATTTTCAATGCATGTCAAGACATAATTTGTACATGCAAAAAATTATAAGAGTATTAGAAATCCATGAGAAAGTCAACATATTTTAAGAAAAAAAGGAAAATTCCAAACAAAATAATCCAATAATCTTGATATAACATTGAATACATCTGATTAGAAATAATCATTTATTTATTTTTTACTTAAGTATTATGTTTATCTATAAATACCAAAGCTAAATAAGTCTATAATTATAGCATTAAACATTTCTAAAATTTCTATAAAACAAAAAATCTAAAAAGAAAATTTTTTTACGACAAAAATTATGTTGATTTTAAGACACCTTCAGTTAAAACACAATTTTATTTATAAAATTTGAAATTGTCTACAGAATATTAATTGAAAAAATGCATCAATTTGAATTAACAAAACAATTTATTAACCATACCCAAATTCTGAAGAATGGTTGTCTAATAGAGATAACTTATTGAGCTCCTCATCAATTACTTCCATAACTGCTTCTGGCACTGCCAAATTCTTAAAGAGAAAAAGTGAAACTTTACTTAATTTAGTGGTCTTTTTGAATCAGTAAATGAGATTGAACAAAAAAGTAGAACAAGTTCATTTAATTCTAAAAACAACTTAAATTTCATTTACTGCATAGATTAACATGGTTTTTCAAAGCTCTTTTGCCAAGGGGAAAAAAAAAACACAGATTAAATGCTTGAAGCAAAGCTGTAATAAATTGCACACGCCATTTTGCTGTAAAGATTTATTTGAGTCTTAGAACGGATAAATAATTAAAATATTTTAAAATTACTAAATGTTTTAGAAAATCGCTAAAATTGGTGAAATTTGTCTACCTAGATGAAAATTATCAAAACCAATGGCTTATTCCAATTTTTTTGGAAATTTTTATGAGCCCTAATGAGAACTTTCAAGCAGCCTTTGTGTAAGTTTTTAAATATTAAAAAATTAGACCACAAACCCATTTCTCGATACTGTAGCTTTTCTTTATATTGATGTTTTGTGCCATTTTCAGAATAAATATAGAGGATGCTGACTAATGATAGGCTAAATTTGACCTAACAGCCATGAATAACTCTGGGAAACACAAATCAGTTATGAAAATAACATATTTGCAAGCAAAAAAAGAAGAAAAAAACACAATTTCCCGTGCTACTACAGACCAGGGTTGGGTTTTTGCCGTCAAAAACTGGTTTTTGACATGACAGTGGTAAAAACCGTGATTTTACCGGTAAAAACTGTCAAAAACCTACTGTTTTCTTTAATTTATGGCATATAGCGGACAATATATTATTTTAACTTAATTGCCTTTATAAATGAATGTTGTAAGCAATTGCTATTGATTTTGCAACTATATACATGTATTCTTATAGAAGGATATACATTCATACAGAAATATTGTAATATACTTATTGAAAATAGTGATAATTAACTTTTATCATTATAGCTTGATTTGCAAAGGATTAAAAATTTTGCACTTCTTAATTGTTAGAAATAAACAAACAAACAAAAAAACTTGGAACTATTAATAAATTCAAGAATTCAAGAGAAAAATTTAAAATTTGGCATTTCTTAAATATTAGAAATAAGCTAAACAAAACTTTCAAAACTTGTAACAATATCAAACTCTAAGTCAGGAATGACTTGACATTCTTCAGTAATGTAATATGACAAACAAAATGATGCTTGGAAATGTTGAAAATTTTGTTTAGTATCCTAATATTTTACTTCAAATAGTATGTTTTGATATAATCATGTTGGGAAAATGCAAAAANATAGAACTGGTTTCCCACCTGTGTGTCTAACATGTGTTGGTCTAACTCTGGAGACAGGGTTTTTTTTTTTTTTTATACCGAGGATGCATACCGATTTATTTTTTGCGTCCCAATTTTTCGATTTGATTAAAATGTTTTGATATCAAAGATTAAAAAGTCGGGAAATTTATAAACTTTCTTCAAAAATTTACGCGTCCCGCGGGACTCGTAGCGATCATTTTTTTGCGTCCGATTTCAATTTTTTGCGTATTTTACGCGCAATAGCGCGTAAATGTCTTCCCTGTGTTAAGAAAATATGATGAAAGAAAATAGAATATAACATATCAAAAATTGTTTTTGAAAGGGGTAAATTGATACAGAGTTATTGATATTTATCACATTATTTATAAAGCATGGATATTTCTCAATAAAAAAATATCCAATTTCATTGCCAGCATATAAGTCACTTTTCTGATTTTCTTAAAATTTTGGGATTTTGAAAAGTCGACTTATTGGAATTCACAGTAATAATAATGCTTAAATAATAATAATTTAATTTAATATAGTAACTTCACATTAATTTCTCAATTGAAAAGATAGAATTATTATATAACGAACTTGGCCTAGTATATAGCTTACAGTTCCTTGACTATATTTTAGGTATATACTGTAGTTTTTCATTAGAAAACATAATTATTGGTATTTTAAGTTAAATGCAAAGTTTTGGAAGAAAAAAATATCGCTAAATGAAAATATGTATTGTGTGAAAATTCCAAAATACTGAGAAATTTTTAAAACATATAATTGTTATTGATATTAGAATTTTTTTGTAACTTTATGGTAAATTACTGTTACTACAAATTCCAAAATTAGCCACTTTACAGATTTGTCATAAGTGACTTTTCCATTAAAGAAAAAGAAAAAAAAAAAAAAAAAAGNAAAAAAAAATAAAAAAAAAAAAAAAAAAAAAAAAAAAAGCTTTTATATTTTATTTTATTTTTTCGTGCAAATTTTTAATAACTCAAGGTTTTCTTGATTTCTCTCCCTTATTGGAGCACCTTGTTAATCTAAAACATTTTACACTTCTTATGTTGTAAAATATTAAAATATGATGATTCAATACTCTAATCAGTGAGCAAAATTATTGATTAAAATAATTAAACAAGAAAAATTAATTTTTTTTATTACATAAGATATAATTCTCAGAAACAATCATGATAAGATTAACTTTTCAGGTATCAGCTTTTAGCATAGAAATATTTTAAAATACTTTTAAATTCATGAAACGTTTAAATTTTCTACCATAAAGAAGTATAAAAAAAATTTAAATTATTCAGGTTCTTGTATGATTTGAATAACTTTACTGGAAACAAAGCTTACGGCAGTTTAACTATTTCAGAAATAAAATTTTTTTCATGCTATTTTAAATTTAAAAAAAAAGCACCTTTAATCTTTCACGAAATTTTTCTTCAATAGCATCTTTATCCTCCTTCTCTAGACCAAGCTCCTTTTTAATAGCTTTTAATTGTTCTTGAAGCATATATTTCCGATGCATTGTTTTAACTTTTTCTTCAACCTGGTATAAAAATATAGATTCAAACATTATTTATGAATAGCTTCTAAATTATTGATAATGCAAAATTTAAAATTTTCTGAATTTTACCTCTTTTCCAATTTTTTGTTGTAACTTACTGAGTTCCAATTCCTTTTTTAGCAATGAAAGAGCTAAAAGAAGTCTGTTAGGAATCTGCAAGACATTTGGCAAATGAAAAATCGAATTTTATAACCCATCTGAATTTTATAAGTCTTTTAATTACCCCAAAAATAAAATGACACAAATCCAGACGCATTATTCTAACCCTGCAATACTATTCAACATTAAAACATTTTGCTACTTTAAATTTGACCAGTGGTCTTCAAAATTATAGTATTTAGACAATTTAGCAAAACTATGAGGATCTTTTTCGATTTATATACAAATACAATGCAAATTATTATTTTATAAACCACTAATAAAAAATAAAAAAGATACAAATTCAAATATGAAATGTGTTTAATGGTTTTATTCATTTAACAATATATTTTTTGCTGTCATTTTTTTGTTCTTTTGTCCCCCATCTTTTGAAGTAAACCCTTCATACAACAAATTTTGCAAAGAAATTAATATTTGCTTTAAGTTTATTTTATATTAATTTTGCCTTCTGCTACTAATGAAGATCTTACTTTTTATTAATTTTAAAATAAAATTACATTACTAATAGTATGCTTAAACGTTAATGATAAACTACTATATGTTAAGTATGGAGCATTCAAAACTAAAATTGTTTGTAAAGCAAATTTTGTTACAGTAACAAAGAAGTAACACAGTTCACGCATGATTTAATCTTGATTTAAAGTTACAAGCAAATAAATACTATTAATATGTTTAAATAACTATCAAATACATGCTGTGTGGTACTATGTCAAACATCAAAGAACATTTTGCATTAAAGATAAATTAAAACTAATACTTTCTTTTTTAATTTTTAATGTCTAACCTGAAACAAATATTTGTACTACTTGCAAATAGTTCAACAAAAAACACCTTAAAAGGTCAATAATAAAATGGTGGGGAAAAAAGTTGGTTTTAATGAGCTATGATTTTAAAAATCAAAAGGATTCGATATGTAGCAATTCTTGCTAAAATAACAAAGAATTTCATATTCAAAAACCATGACAAACGAGGTACAGTTGTTATATTTAAAAGACAGAATGAAAAAAAAAAAGAGTTAAAAAAAGAGTTAATAGCTATCATTGGAAAAATTTATCAGCTGTTACAAAATAATATCAAACTTATATTTAATGTCAAAAATAACTAAGCTTACAATTAGAACATAAAAATTATTGCATCATGATGTATTAAAAAAGTTTTTAATATACATCTTTCGTACCTATAAATAAAATCATGATTTAAAATAGAATTGAAATGGAATACCTTGAAAAAATTTTCGAATAACTATGAAATATTTATGTATTCAATGGGATAACTAATAAATTTTTGAATGTTTACAAAAAAAATATTAAATGAGTCTTTAAATAATGCTAAACAAGACTCTTCCTGGAAACTTTCAATACTTGCATGAAAACACCTATATTTGTCTAAAATACTGAAGAGAACTTTTAATTTTTATTTATTGTGGGAGACAAATACCCACCGCCCTAGTGTAAAAAAAAAAGAAGAAAAACAAACAATAAAGCTTACATTTGTTTCTTCTATAATCTGTTGTAACTCATGAGGTTCAGCTCCAGTTAAAGCAGCACCTACATATACGAGAATGACAATACATAGAAAACGAGATGGGAATAAAAAAGAGAAAAGACAAAAACTGGATGTTTCATCAACTATTCATGCAAGTAGCATAAGTAAAATTAACAAATTTATTATTTATAACAGTAATTAAGTCAACTAAAAAAACTAAAGCTAACAAAAACCTGTACTAGCTAAATATATATATATATATATGGGTCATTCTCACGAAAACTGTCATTTTNATATATATATATATATATATATAGCTAGTAATATGTATAATATAGCAAGAAATTCCTTAGTTTTTACACATAAATATTTAAAAAAAAGAAAATCTGCCATGAGAATTAAAAAAAAATTTTAAATTAAAAACTGTTAATCAGAATTAATGCTGAAAAGCTAGGTTTTATCAGCATACTAGAGTCCAGTGGTTGTTTTTAGGAAATTGTATTGCTGTGAGATAATTATAATAAATTTTTTTTAGTTATATAATAATCTAAACTAAAATAGCAAGTTGAAGAAACATCTTGGACAGGATTAAAATTATTATTTAAATCTGAAAATACAGAATGACCTTTGCAGAATTCTTTACAATTAAACAAGTAGCCATAATTTTTCAATGTAATACAGGAAAGGATTACGAGCAACCACAAATTATACAATATTTTACAGAATGAAATCTGTATAAGCTATTTCTGACCAAAAAAAAAAAAATTATGCGTGATTCTCAGAAACTTTACAAATTATTTTTTAAAATATCTATTAAAGGTCTGGCTTTATTTTCATAAATAAATGCATGTTTCTACTGATAGGGCAAGAAAAAAAGAAAAAAAAGCTTACTTTAGAGCATACGACACTATTTTAAAACCTCACATTCACAGTTTATGTACAAAACTATGGAGAATATAATTAAAATTTCTTGTGTTCAACATTTCTTTAGGAAAATTCTAATTATTTCAGGAATAACAGATTTTTTTAAAGGTTTTTATTCAAACAAACTGCTGTAAGTAAGGTGATTTTAAAAAAAAACAAAACAGCCTTTCTGTTGTACATTGTTTAAAAAGATGCCCGAATAAATTTTGTTTCAATAAATTCAAATATTTAGTTAATGTGTTATCTCCATTGCCTAAAGAAAATTCCACATTAGATATGGTGATTTTAAAAACTTTTAACTAGAATGCGAAATCGATTAAAAAAATTCATTTTTTCAAACACATTAAAAATGTTCCATAGAAATGCATTAAATAGAGATACAATTGAAACTTTTAAATCTTCCCGAGCTGAAATTTTGAGTATTTTTATGATTTTAACTTCAGTATATCTAATTCCATAGATACTTTACCTAAGTCAGATAAATATTCAGGATTATCGATAACTCTTTGTCCTGCTTGAATCATTTGCTGAACAGATTCTCTATATAGCGGATTTAATGCTATAATTTCTCTAATTGTTTTTACAATTTCTTGTTGTAATGCCTGAAATGAAATAAAAGGGTAGTTAAAAATGAAATAAGAATAAAAAATTTCCTAAAATAAATAAATAAATGAAAAATGATGACTTTGGTTTAATTATTAATTTAATATTCATTGAGAAAAGTTACACTGTATTTTTAAAAATATAGGAAAATATCTAAATACCTTAATCTCTTCTGTAACTTCATATGGTTCATGCTTCACATTTTCAACTTCAACCATTAAAACTGAACCCAAGTTAATCGTTTCATTGCTTGTTGGTACATTGTTTGTTGGTTCATTGTTGATGATTTTCTTATTTTTACGTTTTCGTCTTCTATGAGAATCTGTACCATTTTCTAAACCATAAATAGAAATAACGATGAGTTTCTATTTGAAACATTTTACTTAATAAAACTTATATTTATATTTAAACTATTACAAGCATATGTCATGACAATAATAATAAGAAAAAAAATGCTAACTTAACAAACTCAAACAATAAAGAAAACTTTCACATATTTTACCAAAAGAATTTCATAATAATCGTGTTACCACAAAATTAGAACTTGATTATTATGGTCAGTCCATGTAAAACTTGAAATGCATAGACACATAGAGTGATAAAAAAAGAAGCAGTATATGGTTTAAAAACTTTTTTATTTTATCTCCTTTATAGTCTTTATCTTTCGAAAATATGAAATTAGTATAAAGAATTAACAATAGTTTTTGACAGCCATGTAAAAAAATTATAGAATAAATTAAAAAAGAAATTTACAAAACATTAACAATGAGCTTGCATTAAGATAGAAATAACTTTTTGGAAAAAAAATGAAAAAAAGAAAGAAAGATTAAGTGTTATCTCATTAAAAACCAACTAAAATATCATTATTTAAAAAATACATAACAAAAAGAAAAAGAAGAAATAGATTCAGGAAATTTTATGTTATACCTATACATGTTATTGTAGTTGTTAAAAATGTTAGTTACAAGTTTCAAGGGACTTGTCGAACTTATAAACTTAAATCATTGCTACAAGGTTGCTTTGAGTATAAAATACTTTGGCTCCAATATGATCTTGCATCGAATGATAGTTTGGGAGGTTCAAAAATGTTTATATTGAAGCTAGATCTGTAAATATGTTATATAAATATTCATCTGAAACTTCTTACATTTTTTTTTCTTTTTTTAAGTGTTAATTATAAAAAATATATTTTCAATAGAAAGAATAATTTTCATCTTTAATTATTTTCCGAAAAAACTCCCAAGTTAAAGAGTGGCATCCTGAACATTCACAACTTAAACAATTGTTTAATTTGCAATAATGTAAAAAATAGTGAGGATATCTTTATTTCTTTTTTCTTAAAGAAACATTTTTTAAGGTTATAATTTATGCAGAAAATACAAAAATTTAAAAAAGATTTATGTGCTTACATAAATAATATATGTAAGAAATAAAAATTAAATAGAAGTTAAATCTCAGTGTAACCAAATTCTACAAAAAATAGAGAGTATAATTCATCTTATTCTAAAATTATGATAATCACATTCTTTAGTTTTCTGAAAGATTGACAACATTATGGAATTAATAATTCCAACTGGACCTAAGAAAGCATATCAACTAAAAATAATGAACTATTTTAAAATTTAAGCCTTAAAATTATTTTAAAATCTACTTACCTTCAGATACTTGTTTAATTATTTTTATTCTGGAAAAAATAAAAAAAGTTTAAATCAATTTTTTTTTATAACAGAGTAAGGATTCATAAAAATATGCAACAGGAAATAAAATGAATAATAAATTAAACTAAAAAGAATATAGGGCGATAAAAAAAAAAAATCTTACCTTCGATAGGCCATGACTATGATTCTTAAGCTATTTCCTAAATCTTGCATTTCATGTATTTGAACGAATGTCCCAACATTATGTAAGTCACTTAAGTTAGGCACAACTTCAGCTTCACTGCAAACAAGAAATATTATATAAATTAAAACATTTTGTTACGCTCATCCATCTTAAATTTTTATTAGAGCATAAACAGTGTATCTAATTAAATCTATATTTAACTGGCAAAAATTTGTACATTTAAGACTTGTGTATCAAACAACTTAAGAGATTTATACACTGAGTGGAATGCAAAAGCAATTTTTGGAACAGTTGAGCTGATTTTTTTTTTTTAATTATCAAGCTCCACAGTTGACAATAACCTTGTCTCTTTTACAAACATGCCATGGAAGAGATGTAAAAGGAAAGAAAAGATGGGCAGGGCAATTAGCTGAAAATAATGATACAGGTGAGCATAGATTAGAAGTGGGTATTTGATGTTAATTAGACAGATTTGTAATTATGCAGATGGAAAAATCATGCAGGTAGTAAAAGGAAGATTAATGACATAATTGAAGTTTATCAGTGTTTCAAATTTCTATATAGTTATTTCTGGAGATTGTATGCTGTGTCGATTTTTTTCATGCACTGCAAATATTATTATAACTACTACCCAGCCCAGTAGTCAGGGCCCAACTTAGCCTAATTGGGGACCAGGGCAAAAACTTCTTTTGGGGCCCCCCTCTGCTTTACTACTTCAGTAATGAAGATTTGAACTTTATATACGCATTTAAATTTTTGCCCTTTTTATACATAGGTAACGAGAAAGTTGACTAGAACCTAAAATAGCTATTAAGTCTCCTTCTCCAATGGTCATACGAAATATCGTTTTGACCATTTTATTGATTTTCTGACAATTTTATGTCTATCATGCCGTTTTCTGATTGTTAACTTTGTCATCTACCTGTGAAAAATTCTGATCCTTGCTGACATTAGGGCGTAATTTAGCAAAATTTTCGCAAATACGGTGACTCAATTAAGCTAGTCAGAAGCCTGTATTTTTGTAAACATATCGAGCTTTGTAACATGTAAAAATGCAGGTTTTTGATTGTCCAAATTTGACCATCTTAATTGCGAAAATTTAACTGAATTCCGCCCTAGAAAGCCATGGATTTACGAAATTTATTTTTTGTGTTCATACGATAGATTAATGAAAAAGTTAAAATAAAACTGCCGGGTTTCACACTGTACTAACATTTTGTTTAAAAGTTCATTAATGAAGGAAACGTAAAATAAATTTTCAATTCGATCTGGGGGCCCCCTCTGATGTGGAGCCTGGGGCAGCTGCCCCGTATACCCCTGCCTTTGTCAGGCTCTGCCAGTAGTCACCAAAACTTGGTGCCCCCCTGAAACAGAAATCATCTCGATTATTTTTTTTAATTCATCAGATTTTAAAAAGTATATAAAACTTAGGACGAATTGCTTTATTTTCAGTAAGGCAAGTAATTGATCACATCAAAATTGTTTAATTTATCAAGATTACCTTTCAGATTTTTTCATAAACACCCCAGCATAAGGCTGATTCAATTTAACTTTTCTACGAATTAAATCAACTAAATTTGGATCTGTAACCTGCAATAAAAAAATATGATATACTGAAAATATCATACACAAACATGAAAATTTTACAAAAAAGTATATTTAAAGGAGTATACATCAATAATTTTGATAAATTTCGGAAACACTGGGTTACGGCTAACAGCAACTACAGGAACCAGAGGCCAAACTTCTGGGATTGTCATTGAAGTGAGGGCACCCATATGTTGTGAAACAGGACCTGATTCAACAGGTGGTTCGGGAGGGCCATCAGAATCACTGCCGTCGTCTCCACCGCTGCTGGAACTACTCCTATCATTTTCGGGATTCTTGTTTTGAGTACAGTATAAAGAACAGGATGCCAATTGAAAGTTATTAATGCGGTGATATTTATGTTTTGAAATGGAGCTCAATTGTAGAGCAGCTACTGATGAAATTCGATGAAAATTACAGTAGTTGGATGGAGAGAAGACTTTTTTTGTGGGATTTGAAATCAAATATGAGTTAGTGTTTTTAATTATACTAGTAAGTTGAAGCTGACGAAACTTGCTTACAGGTAAGCGAAGAAACATTTTTTTACCATTTACTTTCGTTAGAATAAGAAAAATTGGAGTCCTAAAGGACCCTTAATTAGTGATAATATCTGTTAAGAAATAATCAACTAATAGTGTTTTTGATTAAAAACATACAACTTTCACTCCGAAGTACCACATTAGTTTCATGCATGTCAAAAATGTAAACACAAGGATCACATGAAGCATTAGCCAATCATCGTTCAATTTGCCAAGTTGCCGGTTCCAAATTTCCTTTTCGTACATAAAATATTGGTATTAGTTTTTTCTTGGAAATATTCCAAAAAAATTAATCGTACCTTTTCAGTTTAGTTATACTTGAGAATTAAAGCAGAAAAAAAAGTTTTTTCTTATTGTTTGCAATGTTTTATTTTATTCAGAAGAATAAAAAATAAAATTTCGGCTTTCAACACATCTCATCAAAATTGGATACCTTTCTGGTATGAAAGTAAAAATGTTTCAATAATTGAAAAAATGAAGTTTACAGTACTCATCAAGTTGTTTAAAGTTTATAAATCCTTTTATTTTGGAAAGATAATCTCATTCATGACAGTTACTACGGTTTGTCATAGTATTAACCGCCAGAAGAGTCTGTGAATGGAAAAGTTTGATGGATTTTCGATCGAACGAAGTGAGGTGATTCCAGTGCATTTAGATCATCGATTGCCCACTCTGTACAATGTTTCCTTTTAAATTTGTATCCAATGCAAAGTATTTTCTATGACTTATGATGATTATGCATACTTTTTATTCTTCAATGTGACTTAGCTCACTAAAATCATGTTAGTATAATCCTGTTATGCAGACACTGTACGATCATGGCAGATCATAGTAAAGAGGAACTAGAAAATCGTTTACGAAGACACAGTACTCCCGGTAGTCAAGAAGATGTTCGAGAGACGAGTATTCAAGAAGAGTTTGATCCTTTCTTGGGAGAAGGCGATTTCTTTGAAGAAAATGTTAATATTTCCCTGACGGCCCCTCCTCAATCACAGTGAGTTCTGCATCTTCGTTTAATTTCTTAAAGATAAAAACACTATGTTTTCTTTGTTTTTGTGTTCTGATAAGTTGCTTAAATTGTTATAAATCATTCATTTGTTGATGATGTCAATTTCTCAAGCAATTTCACGTAAGCTTATGTTTTAGTTTTTATTTAACATTCCTGTTTTATAACTATTTTCTGTTGATGTTCTGTATTTTCCTAGATTTTTCATTAATGTAATATAAATATTTACTTCTCTTTACATTCAATAATTGTTAATAAATTACCTTATGTACGTAAGCATCATAAATATATCATGAATTTTATTAAATTAACAAGGTACATTTTAAACTATATCTCTAAATTTTGAAACTTGCATAATATTATTTATGTTAAATCAATGCTCATTAATACACTAGTAAAAATTTATTTAGTCTTATGAAGTGTACCTTGGTAAAAATTTACAATAGTTGCCTCAATTTTTGATATTTTCTATGTTTTATGTCACAATAGTTTTTGTTATATTTTGATTATACTATATTTTGTTACAGCAACTAATGCACATTTAATTATATAATCTTTATTTTAATTTACTGAGCAATATTTATGTTTTCAAACTTAATAAATAAAATGCAGGTTTTAGCCAAATTGAATGAAATTCGCCACCATTTTAAGGAGCACCCAATACTTCACTCTAATCAAATTTTTAAATTAACCCAAGTTTTTTTTTATATATTGATCTTCATTTGTCTCAGGAGAATCAAAAGTCTCCTCAAAGTCTAAGCCTTAAAACCTGACATTTATGATATTGACTGAATTTGGTATTAAGAAATAAAGACTAGTATTTCTTGGTGTAAAGTTTCTTTTATTTACTTTTGCTGAGCTTTTTCTGAGATATTTTTTTCTTAGAAGCAGAAAACAAAACATAGGTTTTCAAAGCATGTATATTGATTTTAAATCATTTTAACCAATAAATTATTAAAAAAATCAAAAACTATAACATTTGTTTTATTTATTTATTTACTTTATATCAATGAAATCAAAATCTGTAATTTATTCTTATTAGGTTGAAAAGTTGGTTGTTTCTTTCCAAATTGTTGGGATTGATTAGCTGTTTCAACTTACTAAAAATTTTAAATATAGATATAACATAAAAATTCATTTGGAAGTTTTTCAGAAGCAGTGATATATAAGAAATGATATGGGCTTAATCTGAAAGCCCTCGACCTGGTCCAACATTAGCTCATTAATTGAGGGAAGTTTTCCAGGCTTATAATATAGTTTTCTTACACTTTCTTCCTTCAAATTTAACAGTTATTTAAAATTCTATTATCTATTTTATTCAGATATTAAAGATAGGCAAGAAATTAATAATTAGGAAGTACAGTCAATTTATGGTAAATATATACATGTAGGTACCTATGTTAAAAAAGTGATCTAGTTTTTTTTGTTAATTTACAATAAAATAAAGCTTTATAAAATTGGTCAATTTGAGGGGTTTAACTTAAAGTCGACCCCATGCAAATAAACAACTAATTGTCTTTTAAAATTTTACTAAAAGAATAACTCTTGAGGATCGTAGTTTATACAATCAGGTATTGGTATAGAAATATCTCTAATTTATAATGATTTGTAAACAGATGGAAATTTTTTTTCACTGTATGTATTAAATTTTCTATTTTGTTACTGGAGAGATTTCCTATATAGAAAATCTCTAGTAGACATATAACTAAACCTATATAAGTCTTTTAGCTTAGGAGTTAAAATTTTATTTCTGAGAACCCAGGAATACTTAATACTGATTTATTTTTAGGTGGTATCATGGACGCCTTGATCGTTATAGTGCTGAACTTCGCTTGCAAGCTGCCAGTAAATTGGGAAGTTATCTTATTAGGGAAAGTGATCGTAAACCTGGATCATATGTGTTATCCTACTTAGGCCATACTGGTATCAACCATTTCAGGTATACCTATTTTTATTTACTTCATTATTTTATTTAAAATTGCTCTGAAATTTTTAATAATAGTTTTTATTTATTTGTAAGATTCATGCCAGTATGATGACAAATGTTCTATGAATGTTGCTAAAGTCACACACGCGGACGACAAATTTGTCACCTGTAAAATATGTTAGGAAATTACAAAATATTAACAAAAAAAGTTTTTCCATCAAATTCCATGCATTTAAAAAAAAAAAAATACTAATTTTATTCTTCTACGCATAGTAAAGAATTCAAATGTGTGGTATTTTAATGTAATAATTGAAATTGTAGTTCAAAAACTTTTAAAATTAAATAGAGAAATTTCAAATTTGCATGTTGTGCTGTGCTTTGCATTTATGTACTGACAATTTAATACCCTTCTTGTCATCCCATTCCATACGTTTGACATTCTTATGGTCAGTGTTGCATGCCATGCGCTGAAGAACATGATTGAATTTTAATTTGTCGCTACTTCAAATCCCGCGATTATTTTTTATTTCTGAATATTGCTAAGAGTTGGTCCAACTTATCCCACTTTCATCACAATTTTCATAGTGAGATTTCTTGCCTTGAATTAAAATAAAAAATATTTTGTACTTTTCTGTAATTAAGAAACTGCTCGCTAACAAAAATACTTTGTAGTATTTTCGAATTAGGATAGAAAATATATTAATTTTCAACAATAATAAAAAATTTTAAAAAATTAGGTCGAAATATTGAAAGAAAACCCGACAAAATTAATTGTTCATCAATAAAGTAATATTTTTTGCTCTTTAAGAATTCACTTTTTTGAAAAATTTAGAATTTTTAGGTAATTAATTTTAACAGTGTGAACATTGTTGATTTTATCTTGTCTGGGACTTACCAGGCAGGACCTGGTTCAAGCTCTCCTGCTGGTTGTAGACTTTCGTAGAGTGAACGAGCTCATGGACCTGATCTAGCTCTGCTGGTCATGGGGATGAGAACAACATATTTTATTAGTTCTTATTTTCTCTGTTTTCCTCATTTATTTATTTATCAGCATTGTAATCTCTTTTTTGAATCTATTTACTATTCTATCTATTAATTATTGAATCTATTATTTATATTATTTTATCTTTTTTTCCACATAATTTTTATAAATATACAAATCTTTGAACATTATAGGATTATGAACCAAATTAGTTTTAGGTGTTATATTGGGCAATAAATGATATTTTATGTGTACCGTTACATGAATTATATGATTGTAAGTTGTAAGGCTCCGTTTTTTTCTCCCTTAATTAAGTTTTTAGACCACTAAATGAATAGCTAAGTAATCCTATTGTACCACTTAATTTTCATTGCTGGTGTGAACCCTATTTATTTGTCTTATGCTATTTTTTTATAAAAATAAAATAAATTAATATTCTTGTTCAGCATCCAAATCTTGCTACAATTCCTTAAATCATACTAGTAAAAAGTATTTAAATTTAGTTGCATGTATTTGATAGAATAGCTTAAGTTTGTTTTACTATAGTAGCACTACCCATAAGAGCTGTACTAAATTTATTGTTAATGTTAAATAGAAGATTTTTGCTGGGCTGCTTTAAATGTATAGTTATTTGTCACTTTTTTTGTAAAAATTTGTACGTCTATTATTATCATTTTTAATGGGTGTTAATTTATGCTTGTTACTTTTTTAATTTTGGTTGTTTGTTATTATTTTATTTGCCAAAATTTCTTTTCATATAGGATTACTGCTGTGTGTGGAGACTATTATATTGGTGGTAGGCAATTTGATTCACTGTCAGATTTAATTGGTTATTATACAAGCTGGTCTGATTTGTTGAAAAAGGAAAGACTTGTATATCCTGTGCCACCTCCAGAGGTACATTTGCTTATAAAATATAATTTCAAATCTGTTTAAATAATTAATGTTTTTAAATTTTTTTCTCCACCTATTAATATTGAATTATTAATTGCTTTTTCATACCAAATTAATAATGTGTACACAAAAGCTAAATCTTTGTATTTTTTAAGTGCTCTATTAAGTTATTAACTCTTTAATTATATATTTTTAAATATATTTTGCAAATTTTATTTTAAGCATTAGCTTTTTTATTGTAAAAGAATTAAGTCTAAAAAAAATTTTTTTGGATAATAAATATTTCTCAGAAGTAGTTACTATATTGTACAAAGTGCGAAAGTTAATTCTAACATAATTCTAAGAGGTAATTTTAATGCAATTTTAACAGAATTGAAGACACACTTCGTTTTTGTTTAGGATTTTTTTTTTTTAAATGAATCAGTTGTAGGTATAGATAATTTTAGAAGCTTTTATTTTTTTAAGAAATTTGTAAATAGTAATTAACAAACTAATTTGTATAATGATATACTTTTTTGTTTTTCAGCCTGTAAATGATAAAAAACGAGTTGTTGCAATACTACCTTATAATAAGATGCCTGATACTGATGAAATTAGGTATTGTATTATTTTTACATTCCTTAAAATTTAATTATGTATTACCTTTGAATATTATAAAATTCTTGTTTTAGGTAAATATTTTGTCTGATGCTCTGAATTTCTTTAATGTTATGATATCAATGATGAGTCAACAAGAATTTTTAATCTTTCTTTATAAAACTGATGAACTTAAATTTTGCTTAATTCTTTTATTCCTTTTTTTTTTTTTTTTTTTTTTTTTTTTTTTTTTTTTTTTTTTTTTTAATAATATAAATATGTGAAGAGGAAAACATGCACATTAATTATTTACCTTCCTTACTTAAAAGCAATCTGGAAAAATTCAAAGCAAATATGCTTTGAGTTTTTGTTTAGGGTCTTAACCTTATTGTTTAAATGTAGTTTTTATAGTAAATTGATGATTATAATATAAATGCCTTTATTAAATGATATATTCAAATATAATTGTGAATTTGCTTTATTGTGTATTATTGTCATTATTTAGTTAGTATAGTACAGTTAAATCTTAATATATCAATCTTGAAAAAAGTGGTGAAAAATTTAAAATATCTAAAAAAAATAAATATTATCAATAGCAGAATAAATAAATAAATCTTTTTTACACAGTTTTTTAAAAAGCAAGCCATTGTTCAATGAAACAAACACTATGTAATAGAATATATTTTTTAAAAAAATCGATTGTTTTCTTGATAAAAGTACAATATTTATGAAAATATCCACTGCGACTAAAACTTTTTGCTGGTTGTAAAGCACAAAACTCAGCTTGTACAAGTGGCTATTTATGTATTTAATTATTAAAAAGAGCATAATTTCTTTCAATTAAGTATTAAAAAAATTATCTCAATGTAATTTCAGTTTCCTAAAAGGGGACATATTTATTGTACACAATGATATGGGTGATGGTTGGCTTTGGTGTACTCTGCATCGTACTCAGGAAAGTGGTTTAGTATTCAAAGAACTTGTTGAAGAATTGGTAAATAAATATTTTTTTCACTTTTCTATTAAACAGATTCAGGTTTCTTATGAAATGCACTCTCTTTAAATTTAAATAAATAAGTTGATAATTCTTTATGATAGTTGTCTCAAATATTATTTTTTCCAATGTACCAAATGCATAATCTAAAAAAAAGTTGTTTGACTCAAATACTTTTTCCGAAAAATATATATGTTTACATAAAATTATTGAATATTTTTTTTTATACTTCCTTTAGTGTGTGTATGTTAGTTTTTAATTAGTTTAATTGTCAGTTTTTAATTGAGTGGAAAAATTTTAAATGCATTTAAGGCTCTAATAAATATGTATTGCATATAAAGTAATTTATTTTCATCATAGTTAAAATTTTTATCCATCTTTTTTTAGTTAGAGTTTTATTAATTTTAAGTACTAAGTTTATAAAAAAAAAAAATTCTGTTTCCTACACTTTTTAATTCTAAATCAATGTTCTAATTGTGAAAACTCAATTAACTTCCTTTTAAAATCAATTGAAAACTAACTGAATTGTTAAAAAAAATTTCAATTATTAATCGATGTGTAATCATTAAAAAAAATTCTTTCATCCAAACATGTAAATGAAAGATAATTAGAAGTGTTTTATTTCTTTTTACATCTTTAAATTTGTAAATAACTCGTTTTTAAAAAAATAATATTTTTTTGGTTAAAAGCTCGTTATCCCCCCCCCCTTTTTTTATGTTGAATGGCTATATCTATTACTGCTGATAGTTAAAAAGAAAGCATCCAATAACTTCTGATTATGGTGATAGAGATACAATTTTGATCTAGTTCTTGCCATTTTTTAATTGTATTTAGGCAAGTCAATTTATCATTTTTTCAACACTATATTTTAAAAATTGAAATCTCTTTTTGTTTACTTTCTGTTTTAACTAAAGCGAAGCTTGTTAAGAGTCTTTCTAATAGACTGTATTATTTTATTGTTGCTTTTTCTCGTACGGTAAGACTGATAACTAGTACAGAAAGCTGCGATTCTCAACATTAAAGTTATATTTCAGAACTAAGATAAAAAAATTTATAGTTCCTCTTTTGATTTTTTTTATTAACTTTTCATTTTATAAGCGTTTTTATTATTACAGTATCTTTTAAAAAGCGTTTCTAATGATTGTTATTCTTTTATGATCACTTTTTTATAAAAATATGACAACTGGAAAAAGTTAAATTAAGATTTTTAGCATTAAATCTTTTATTTAAAATCTAAGAATAATTTGTGTTTTTCTTTCTGTCTTGGTTTTTCTTTTTCAAAAAAATTTGTTTCTATAGACATTGTTATTATGACGGTGCAATTTAAGAGGGTTTCTATTAGACTTTAATCTTCACTTTTCCTTGAAAATATTCTTTCAAAATAAAAAAAAAATGAAGATATTCTTTCAAAAATAAGATGAGTTTTTATTTTTGTGATTAGCTTTTGAATCTTTGTTTTTATGATAGTGCTGCATTTTTAAAAACGTTTTTGATAGACATTTTCTCTTTTAATGTTTTATGGATAATTTTGTTCTGGAAAATATTCTTTTTCACATTACAGCTTTGTTTTAGGAATTACGGGGACATTTTTCTTTCCAACTCTACAACTTTGATTTTTTTTAATTGTTGCTAGTTAGTTTTTTTACCTAAAATATTTTGAATTATCTTAATATCTAATTATCTTTATTAACATAAAGATTCCTATTAAACAGGGTTGGCAGGTTTTTGACATGTNTCAGTTTTTGACATTTTTGACGGTTTAAACCAGTATTATACCCTTGTCATGTCAAAAACCACTTTTTGACGTCAAAAACCCAACCCTGCTATTAAATAAAGTTTTTTTTTTTTTTACACTTGCCCCATACCTATAATACAGGCAAGTTTTGATTATTTTTCAATAATGACTAAACTTATTTCGTTATTAAAAATATTTATTAATATTTTTTTAAAAAACATTTTGCTATTCGGCCGTCAAATGTTTGACTATTTTGCCAAATCACTATTCCTTATGTCTCTATTTGATACTTCTTTTTTGATTATACTCATATTTTTAATCTGAAATACTGCTTCTGGGTAAAAGATGATAACTTATAAAATGATTGAATTTATTTTAAATAAAAATAATTTCATAAATGCTTTAAGTAAGCTGCAAGTAACATACATAAAAGCCAAAAGTTTTCAAAGTATATATATATATATATGTTGAAAGAAAATATATGGAATAAATTTATACTAATTTATTTTGTCGTATCAAATAAAATTAAGTCATGAAATGATATATTTTTTTTTGCTGCACTCCTAAGCAAACTATATTGAGTGACCTTGTATATTTGCTTTAGAAACATGTTTTTATCTTTTAAGAAGTTGCATTAAATTTTTTCTTGTTATTTATAAATTAGTAACTTTGCCGAGCATTGCTCTTCCAATAAAAAATGGTGTGCAAGTCTATGAGAGCAATGTTCAAGTTTGTACTAATCTTAAAATTTGCCTCTATTAAATTGATATTGATATTTCAGGATGATGATGTTGATCCGAATGAGATTTATCCTTGGTTTCATGGAACGATAAGTAAAGAAGCTGCTGTGGAAAAGCTTGCTAAGAGTAAGTCATTCCATTTCTTTATTTGCTAGATCAAATAAATACTAATCAACTATGTTATTTTATTTTCCATTTTTATTTTGTGCATTTTCATGGGCTTTGGACAAATCCTGGTACTTTTTATCATCACAATATATTCGTTACCTTTTTTTTTTAAGTTGATGCCTTGCCTATAATGTTTGAACACTCAAACTCCTAAATTTTATTTCTGAGTACTTCTACAATTACTAGCTTCTTTATATATTTATAAAGAGAGCCCTTTTTTATCCGGTAATACACTTCTCATTCCCATTAGACCTATTACTTGTTATGTGTTATTACATAAACAGAAAAAATTGTGTGAATAATTTTAATTATCTTAAATGCATAGAAAATATTAAAAAAAAATCAATTATGATTAAATTTCAATAACTTAGTATTAAAGCATAGTACTTTTTTTCAGATGATGTTTATTATCTTAATATAATTTAACTTGTACATTTAACATATCTAATTTTTTCCCCCTGAAAGTAATTATTCATCATTTTTTATTTATACAGTGGGTCCTGGAAGCTTCTTAGTGAGACCTAGTGATAATTCCCCTGGAAACTACTCACTTTTCTTTCATATTAATAATACCATTCAACGCTTTCGCATCGAAAAAAGAGGGAATCGGTACATTATGGGTGGACGATGTTTTGATAGGTATTTATATTTTGTTTTATTATGGACATTTAAATTTATTTCTTTATTAATGGCTAATTGATCTTTTAAATGTATCTGTAGTCATTGGTCATGCTGAAACTATATTAGAAAATATATATATATTATATATCTGGATTGACAGTATTAGTTTTTAGCAAAATATAATTGTTATTATGATTAATTATTATATAGTTAGTAGCCACGTTTTTCATAGTTGAAAGTGTTTTAAAATTATTATTGTTATCATTACAATGGTTAATGATTATTTTCTAAATTAAAAATGTATTTACAGTCTAGAAGCTGTTGTGAACAGGTATAAAGTTGAGCAGATTGTAGAAGGCCACCATCTGGGTGAACCTGTTCTCAAAGTAAGCAAAAGTTTTATATATGCGTAATATACAGTTCTATAATTGTTTATATTAAATTATTGTAATTAATTTGTAAATTATTTATGATTCTTTTATATAATACTTAGCTATGTATGATAATTCATTACATTACTATTAGTTTTTGTTCTGCAATATTTTCTCTTCCTGTAGCAACTAGTAAATCATAATTTTTTTTATTTTTTTGCATTTATAAATCATTTATATTTAAGTAGTTAATATTAAGTAAAAAAGTTATATTTTAGAATGGCATTGAAAAAAGTAATCGTATAGCAGTATCAATTGTAGAATTGATAAATTAATTATTGTCACTCATGGTGAACATGCAGAAATTCTTTTTCAACTACTTTTCCCACCCCCTCAATCCCATAATTCTCATGTGATATGTAATTGTTGTTTAAAATAACAGTGAATGTAAGGTATTTTTTACTCAGCCTGAAGTAGAATTGTCCCATTTATTCTTTCAAAATGATGAACGCTGTCAACTTAACGAAAACTATAAACAATGGTAAAGTTACCTAGTGTTTGTGATACAGTTAAATTTATTTCCAACCAAATCATTAGTTCTGGTGTAGGGTTTATCTGAACGAATTAGCTTGGTCGATATTGCAGATATCATTAGTCATTTTTACACAAAATGAATGAAAAATTTGATTTTACATAGCAATTAATTTGCTGAATTTTTGTTTACTTGTTAGTGACTCTTATTGCTATGCTGGTTCTTTGATTCCATGATTTACGTTTATAATACTTAAGTTCGTGGTGTCCAGGGAAATTACTATTTTTTAAAACTTCTGCACGATACATCTAGTAAGCTGGCATTGTTTTTGAAAAAGTGTGAGCAAACTGTCATCCAGTTTCCTTCATAGTGGTTCCCAGCAGCAGTTCACTTAAAAATATTTTTCTCCTCTTCAGAATTATCGGATTTTCATATTTCCACATATTTTAATCATTCTCAAATTTAATTTTAAACTTCACTTATCTCTTTCTTGGTCTTTCTTTATTCAGTCTTTGTTTTTTTGCAAGGTAATGACGTTTCTATTCAACCATGGCATAGCTATGATTAAAAACAATAATATCAACTTGCAAGAGTAACTAGTGGAAAGGATGTACTTATTCAGTATTGATTGCACTTATAAATTTGCTAGAAATTGTAGTGTAGGCTTGATTGGTGTAATACAGTTCCTTAATATACTTTTTTTAATTTCCCCTAATTGCTTTAAATGCTTTATATGTTTTTGATTTCAATTGAATTATTTTTAATTGATTTATTATCATTTATTTTATTTTTGTAAATCTATGATAAGTTTGGTTGAAACTGCAGTTCATATAGTAATGCTAAAATAACGCTAAAATTTTTACTTTATATGAGAAGGCAAAATAAAAATGTGTCCAATTTAATTTGGCAAAAGTTATTGTCCACTCACTATCCTACTATGCTTAAGTTTTTGTGATAAAGATTTTAAAATTTTATTCTAAAACTATATTTATGTGTTTTTAGCTAAGCTAAGATACTTTACATTTTGATTTTGTCCCTTATCCAAAGAACCATCAATGTATTTCATTTCTCTAAAAATCTTAAAAGTACTGAAAATTTTGAAAACCATATTGTTTTTTTACTACAACTAATTTTTATAAATTGTGTTCTCTTAATTTTCCTTTTTTTTTTACAATGTTTTAGTTAAAATTATGTGTAATGTTCTTTTATACTTTCAGGCTCCTTATGAATCCAAAGAACTCAGTAAAGCTGAAGAGATTCAACAGAAATCTCATGATATTTATGCAACACTGAGAGAAAGTCGTGAATCTGGAATTGCCAAGCGCAACAAAGGAATTCGCATGAAGGGTTACTTGAATAAAAAGAGTAAGTACATAAATAAAAACTGAATTTTAGCTCAAAGTTCTGCATTATATTGAGTTTGCCAGTGATCAAACTTTATTATGTGTTTGATCTAAACTTTTATCATAACTTTAATTCTCAGGTTGTTTTAACCCAGGTCAAGGGAATCGCAAGTGGAAAAACTTATATTTTGTTCTTAGTGCTAAAGAACAACAGCTACTCTTTTTTGATAACCCTCGTGTAAGTACTTGCTTTTTCATCTTTAATTTCTTTGGTAGATTATCATATTATTTTCAATTAAATTAATACAATTAGATGTAGTGGAACACTCGTGAAACTAAATTTAATTTTATTAATTTGAAATCTTCCTTGTAACTAATCAAATTTCCAACTTTTATGATGCATGTTATTAAATTATTTACACAGTATCTTTTTTCCAAGGTTTTAGTAATTGTTTTATTTGACTATAATTTATTATTTTTTTAATAATTATATTTTTACATTGTAACAATATTAGTGAAGAAAATATTTAGCTTAAACCTTTCTATGTGTGTCAGCTTTGCCATTAAAATTGTCAGTAGTGATACTACAGGGTTCCCACGGTCCTTGAGAGTCCTTGAATTTTTTTTTTGCTAAATTTAGGTCCTTGAAAGTGCTTGAAAAACGTCTTAGGTCCTTGAAAAACTGGAAAGGTCCTTGAATTTGTTCAATACTGCCGGCGGCCCTTTTTATAAAACTCCCGCGGATCTTTCTTGTTCTTTCTGTTTTGCTCCTGAGCTCTCTCACGTGGTTTTTAACGCCACCGTTTCTAACCGGGCCTAGCGTCTTGGTGTCTGCCAAGCGCGCGGAGCACAGCAGACAATCAATGCGTTCGGGGCGAGACTCCACTTCATCTTCTGTCGCATATGCTNGTTATAGATTGTGCTGAAAATGATTTTGTGAATTAATATGTAAAACCAGTAGGGTTGTTTTTATAAAAATATAAATTTAAGTCCATAATACATATACTCTCTTCTCTCTATATAGGCAAAGCATTTAGGTATTATATTTAAAATTAATTATTGCCACAACAAGCATTGTTGCTTCTAGTAAGATAGAAGAGAATAATTTTTAAAATTGGTCTTAGATTAAGGTCCTTGAAAATTTTGTTGAGGTCCTTGAGAAGTCCTGGAAAGTGCTTGAATTTCAATCTCATCATAGAGTGGGAACCCTGTACTAGATTGGAGTTTCAATTACCTACTCCCACAGATGATTGTGCTCCGGAAAAATTCCGTTTTTTTTTTTTCACTAAACGCAATCCGGAAGTTTCCAGAAATCATCGATCGCATTTACGTATAAAAATTCTTGCATATTTTATTTAAAAATATTAGAACTAAAATTTATACTTGGCATCTCTTTTATTTGTAAATATTTTTTCTGATAAAATAATAAATGTGATTAGAGATAATAGTAAACTTACACATAATTATTCATTTAAATTATGCTGAATATAATTTATTTAGAATTTCATGTTTTGAAAATATCAATTTAAATTTATAACGACATAAATTTTTTGAAATGCTTCATTAATGATTTTACTCGAGAAATTTTCAGGATTTTTGAGTTGGGCTCACAATCACCCATGCTACTCCTATTTAAAAAAAAAATATTTAGTTATTTTTTGATTGAGATCTCTATTTTCATAATTTGTTTATTCCTTATATCTTTTAAAAATGAGACAAATAGTTACTTTCTTTTAAGTAAGTTACACTTTTCATGTTTCCCCAATCCCCCAATAAAAAATATGTTTGTTTTTTTATATATTAAGGTATATGCTGCCTTGTTTTTGTTTATTGACACCTTCTATAAATAAATCAGTTCTGCTTTCATTCCCTTAACTTCAGTTATTGTTTATGTATGGAACTCAACTTTTTTTAAATCAAATTTTAGCGCACTAAGCCGAAAGGCTTGATTGAATTGAGCTACACTTACTTATACATGGTGCATGACAGCCTCTTTGAAAGGTAAGCTATTTCTATCTAAAACTGTTACATACAGTTTTATATGTGAACCAAATTTTATGCCATCTAAATATGCTGTCGTTAGTTGAAAATTACTCTTAAATATTAACTCGATTTTATCAAGCTATGTACTATTAAACTTGTTTTTTCTTCATTGAAAATATCATTAAAATTTTTTTGGTTTATCATTTTATAGAACAAGAAAAATACAAGTTTAGCAATCATTGATAATTAAGCTATATCGTATTAAGTATTGTGATTTACATTTCATTCTTCACTTATAAATTATATGAAGTAGTTTCAATATTAAGAAGAAAAAGTAGTGTCAAAAATTTGCTAAGTATTCAGGAAATATAATTATCTGGTTTTAAATTTTCTGGAAATCTAATTATTATTATTGATTTATTTTTCTATTATTTTTAGACCAAATTGTTTCCAATTGGTGGAACGTGCATTACCTTGTATAAGTACAATATACTATTTGTGTGCTAGTTCTCCAGATTTAACGCAGGTAATCTACTCTTTTACTTATATAAGTTTTAGTATCAAAATTTCCGTTCCAAGTTATTAGCAAATCTAAGATTTTGAAGAGATTTTTTAATCTAAGATTCTGAAGGGAAAAAACATTCATTTGAGAGAACTTTTAATTTTTTTCTAAGAATTTGTAATGAATTTCCATTTTACAGGGGAAAATATTATATTTTACATTTTTAGGGCAATTCAACTAAAATAGCTTTTTTTTTTTTAATTTTAAGATAATTGTAAAAATATTTTCTATGTGTTCTGGTCATGGACAAGTTAAATACTAAAGAGACTAAATGTTAACACATTAACAATCACTATTAGTTCAACAGCATATTTAAAACCGTCTAGCCATAGATCCTTCCTGGCGACTGCTCTTTGTCAGTTTTTTATCTTACTGTAGTATGTGGGCTCTTTTTAGTTCAGACAAAATTGGGCGCTATCTTTTATAAGATAATAAAATTTTATATTTTCTTTATGTTAATGCTTATTGTTTAATTGTATTTATTTATTAATCATCAGATAGTTTATTAATAAGCTATCATCGGATAAAATGTTAATTGAATTCTTTTTTCCAAAACTACTTTGTTTGAATTATTATGTGACATGTGTTGGTAGACCTGAATATTAATCATTCTATTTCATAACTGATATTATTCAAAACATTCTTTTATAAAGCATCATATTAAAATAACTTTTTAAAAGTCGGTAAGAAGTCTATGTGCTAATTATTATTAGGTCTCTGTCTATGTGCTTAAGTAGTTGGAAAGAGGGTCAAAGTTAATAAATATTTCTCCTCACTGTTAGTTTTATCCTTTCACAGTCCACCTCAAACTCAGTTATCAGTAAGAAATACCTTTTAACTTAGGAAACTAATTTTTCTTTATGTTTGACAAGATTAATTTTAAGAAAAGTAATATGATTTAACTGTTTATTTTACGATGTCTAAAATATTCTTCATATTTTTGCTGCATATAACAGACATTTTTGGAACTCAAAAATTTCAAGTGTGCTAAATTGTAGAAGTCATTTCTTTATGGAGGATGTAATTCATAATTGTTAATTTTCTAATTAATTAATTTTTAACATTATTTTTTGATGATATTGATATATCTTTAGAATATCATAATATTAGTTAAAGCTGAAAAATTTTGGTTAATTTTAAACATTTTCCATTATTTAAATTCTGAATATGTTATTCAATTATAAAATAAGCTTGTATCCATAAATGTTAAAAGTTTTTTCTTTATTATCATAAATAGATTATATTAGTCTTATTAATTCTCTAATTGTGTACCTTTCTGTTGACCAATCATAAAGACATAGTAACAATGTGAAAGATATTCTTGTCTAAATAGATGACTTTGGGAGTTCCCTTTTCTCTAAGTTAGATTTAAAATGTCTGAGTTGTACAATTGATGACTAAAAAACTATTGAGTTATGTATGCATAATGAATTAAACTGTAGTTCATTACTGGCAACAAAAAAAAAGTTCAATATTAAGAAAAGAATTTTTTTTTTCAAGTAACTATAGTTTTTTTTAAAAGATATATGAAATATTTTTTTAGGAATGGATTCAAGCTATCAAACCATTATGCTCTCCTCAACTACCAAGAGGACGGGCCCCTACCCACAATGTTACCGAGGTTCGAAGTTTACACCTGACTCTACTGGAAGCGCACCGTTTACCAGTGAGGCTTGTACCCCACCCTTTTTGCATAATTTCACTAAATCAAGTTAAAGTTTGCCGAACTCAAGTTAAGTGCCCACCTGATCCTATATGGGAAGAAGATTTTATTCTTGAGTACGTTTGTTTCACAAATTTTATGTTTTCTTTTTTTTCTTTCTCCTTTTTGATAATCACTACTGTCATAGGTAGTGGAAGGAAAATTGCTAAATTATTACCTTTGAAGGGGTGGAAGAAGTTCTTCGACGTTATTCTGGTCTCAAAGATTTAAGAGCATAGTTTAAAAAATGGAACTTCATAAAAAGTGGGCACAAAATGATGATTAATTTAACATCTTTATATAAATTTCCTTATCTTAGGTCCTCTTTTAGAATATGACACAGGGTTACAGATCCTCCATTTCCTCTGGTCTCAATTTGCTTCAACAAAGGTAATGAAACTCAATGTTAAAACTGGCACTTAAGATAAAACCATATATTGTGTAGCAGTTTTTTGAAGTGTTCATAGTGATTGATTTAAATCACTTTCCTCTCATCGGACATGTTACTTTCCCACTGAATTCGCTTTTTTCGTGTAATTTTTCATTATTAACTTAACATTTCTAAAATTGATATTGAAATTCAAATTGTACGAAAGTGATTTGAGTATTTTATTTATTCAACCCAATATGTTTCTGCATTGCAATGATTTTTAAATAGCGTTATATAAAAATAAAAACTGACTTTCTATTTAAATTTTATAAGAGTGAATTAGGTTTCATACACTTATTTGCTATTTTTAGTAAAATTAAATCTTGTTGGATAGAGAGATAGGTTGTTTCAGAAATTTCAATTGTTCTCTTTATTCAGTTTATTTAAAATGATTTAATTCAGGCAACAATTCAATCAATATTCATAGAAGTTTTAAAAATAATAAATTGAGTTCAATTAAAATATTAACCAAATTCCATTTTTCCAAAGAATAATAAATATTCAGATTGGCTGTTGGTAAAAAATTATACCAATTGAAATTTTAATAAGTTATTTTCTTTTGAAGCAACTAAAAGAAGAATCTTTAATTTAGGAGGGAATAAACTGAAAATATTTATAAAAGGAATATTTTTTATTCAGTTAGTATCTTTTTAATTATAATTTGGAAAGCCTGATCTAAATTTTAGTTACGATGCCAAGTTCAAATTCTATTTTTTTCCCCATTTCCTAAAAAGAAAGCTATTCAAATTATAATAGTTCTCTTAAAAAATGGTTTATCACTAAGAACTTTAATTCTTCTAACAATAGTTATAAATGGAAAACTATTATGTAACTATTTATATATTTTATATTGGACAGTGTCTTCTTGCCCAAATGAAGGAAAAATGAACATATAAATTAGGAGATCGTAAAAAACAAGATTTTTGTTGTTTAGTACTTATTTTTAGTAAAAGCCTGCTTTTTTAAAAATGTTTTATAAATGTTACTTTCTTGCAAACTTAATTATTATTCAAAAAATAATAAATCAAAACTACTTTTCTTTGTTCTTTAGTTAAACAAAACAACATAATCGAAGAAAATTTTATGTTCATATTAGGTAAACTCGGGCCAATTCACTTAATTTGCAATCCGTAATTAAAAGATTGTCCTATTTTATCTATCTATGTATAAATTCTTATAAATTTTTTTTCATGCCTGTGCTGCAAGGACTGTATTATCAAAAACTTGTTTCTGCTATTTTTTCATATTGTATAATAAGGTTAAAAGAAGCATTTAGTTCAAACTAACACATTAGAAGGCAAATTTTTAATATACATTAGCAATATTCCCATATGCATCCTCTATAAATGTTAATACTTTTGTATAATATCATTTAGTAGCATGATTAAGCAGATATATTATTTCTACTGCAAGGAAGAAAAAAAAACCTTAACCCATAAAATATGTGTAATCCTTGTTTATTAAATGCTAATTTATTAGAATATGAGAAAAATATAGTTATTTGTTTTCATACCATTTTCTTTATTTAAATTATTATTAATTGCGTACGTAAATGTCAATTGCATAATTTTATTTTATACTTTTAGAGACATTCCATCTGATATAACATCTTTTGTCATTACTCTTTATAACAAAGGGAAGCGTTCAAAAGATATGGAAATAGGTACTTATTTCTGTTTTAATATCATTTTTTAATACACACTAAACTCATTCCACATAATCTACCTAACAACTAAGAAAAAACATGATGTTTATGAGGAATCATTTTAGTCCGTTAAGGCCAATTGTTGGATAATGGATGGTTAACTGTCTAAAGTTATAACAAGAGTGATGGGGAAAAATAAAGGTGTGTAAATAATTATTTTAACTCATTCGGGTTTGTAAATAACATTTTCAATAGTTTATGGTGCATCTATGAATGAAAACAATAATCATTTTAATAAGGAGAATGGATTTACCCGAAAATGGAATTTATGCAGCACATGCCTAAAATGAATTTTAAAAAAAGTTTAATCAAGGAAATCAAATAAGCTTATATTTCTTTAAGAAGTAAATGTTTGAAAAAAATTACATTCTTTTTATAAATTAACAATTCTGACAATCCATAGTTGCAATCAGAGAGAAAAGTTTGATCTTACATCTCTGAGGAAAAAGAAGAAGAAAAAAAATGAACAACTTCACCTTTTATAAGGGAAGAAGTCTGCCTGTCATTGTCTTTAAAACATATTCTCAAAAGACAGATTCTGCGTTCTAACAACTATTCATTAGTCATTAGCTAATGGCTTATCATGTCTCTCTGCCAAAATCAATTCAAAATCAGTCAATTTCAAAAGAGAAATCAGTATGTCACGAAATAATTACAATAACAAAAATTTAGTCAAAATTATTCAGAAACTAATGTTATTTGATCTTTTTAAACTTTATTATATATACCATTTACAATGGTGCAATAAGTAGTAGTTTTAATTGTGAGCTTCAAATAAGTTTTATTTGCTTACTTCATCTAAAGGCAGTTAGAAGCCACCTGGCTTAAAGTTGGCGAGACCGTCAGAACTTGCTGACGTGAATGCGCCAACATCTAACATGGAAACACGGCTATCCAATTCCAGCTTTGACATTAAAACAAATAATGGGTAATAATCATAGGTAAATTAAAAATTCAATTTCTATAATAAAATGCAATATCTATTTTGTTCTGTGTTGTTTTAAGAGTCTACTTATTTCAAGATATTACAATATTAAACATGCTCACACTTTAACTCTTGACACAATGTCTATTGTCCGATTTTAGAAAACTTTTTATGTTTTTTTTTGTTTAAGTATCCATAATTATCAGTGTTAAGTAACCTTTTTTGGAGTACTTAAAATCTTTTTATACACTAAATAAATGATAAAACTTTTTCAGTTATATATCATGACTCTTGTATTCTATCTCAAACTTTCAATTTTTATTTTTACTTAAGTATTCTCACATGTCTAATTGAAAAACTTATCCCATGGATGTTGGTTAATTTTTAATATAATAATATATATTATTTAAATAAATAAATGCTTTGAATTTATTATCTGTATGTACTAGACAGTTTAAATTTTATTTTTTCAGCTGATGTTACAGTTGAGCTAGAAAATCTAATAAGCGGAGAGGAAGTGGAAGACTGGTTTCCCCTTGGTGGTTTGACACCTCCTATTAGAGAAGACTGGGGCTCATTGCGTGTCAGAATTAGATATATTCATGAAGTTATAATGCCATTAGCTGAATACAATGCTTTGAAAGAGGTATAAATTGTAGTGTAAATTTTAATTTCTTTATATTTATTTGCATAGTTTAAATTCTGTATGCTACAGAATTCAAAGTGAATTAAGTTTAAAAAATTTTTAATGCAGATAAAATTTAAAATTTTCTAATTTCATTTCGTTTTAGCTATTTCAAACTAAACTTGGTGAAAAAAAAATTGTAAAGAGGGTAAATGTTTTGTAGAATTACAATGTAAATGTATGTATATTTTCATATATAATATACATTACCCTACAATGATGGAAGAGACACTTCGGTTTTTGATATTATTTTGAATTTCTCAAGAAATACTTACACCCTATGCCAGAAAATCAAGCAATAAGCTTGTAACTTGTATCGATTGCTTTGGTTGTTATTTGCAATGATTGCATAAAATTTCATAAATCTAACTTAAATATTCATGGAGATATGAACATTTTCTTCAAATACTAATTTTTTTGTCTCATGTTTTTTATTATAACTTTAAAAATATTCAGTAAAACTAAAAAAAAAAAGTTTTTAATGCAATTTAAAATAATTATTTTTTCTCCGTAATTTTACAGTGAATCATGTTTGGCAACTAATGGAAAAAATATGATTTAAAGATCTTAAAAACGTAAAAAAGTTTCAAGCAATTTTCTAAGTAATTTTTGTACTTTTTAAATGTAAGTTCAAAACGAATGGGAGTTTTCCACATATTTATTTTGTTCTTGCTGTCCATTCATTATAAGGTAGTGTAATTTGCAATACAGCATAATAAAATTAGTGAAAAAGCCCTGATTATTTTGAGCTTTCTTTTGAAAAGTACAAAAATTGTCTAGAAAATTAATCGAAATTTTTTAGATATTTAAATAAAAAAAATTTTCCTCCATTAGTTGCCAAATACGATTCACTACAAAATAATGAAAAAATAATTTTAAATTTTTTCAGAGGGTGCACAGTACAAAAAAACTACTTTTAATACTCATATCTTGCATGCATTTTTTTTAAATATTTTTTTTTTAAATTTAAAAACATTAATTTTGTAATTGGTTTTAAATTGCTCAAAAAATTTTGTTTAATTTTTTTGAATATTTTTAAAGGTATAGCAAAAAAACATAAGACTAAAAAATTATTTTAGATAAAAATGTTCATATCTGCATAAGTAACACTAGATTAACGAAATTTTATACAGTCATTGCAAATAATAACCAAAGTAATCAGTACAAGCTTATTGCTTGATTTTCTGACATAGGGTGTTTATTATGAAAATATTTTGCAGTTTATGAAAGAAAATTTTTAAATTGCTTTATGTAAGATTTTATCTCATGGCTCTTTTAAGTTAGCACTTGTAAGTTCAGATAATTATTTCCTTTTCAGATAACAAATTTAATACAACAAAGGCTGTATTTTGGTGGTTGTTTCAAATTTGCTATCAATTTTTATTATTTCTCTTTGTGGTTGATTTTTGCTGTTTTGGTTCAGAATTTTAAACTAATGAAAATTATGAAATGAATAATTGAAAAAAATTACTAATTGCATGGTATAATTTAAAAAATAGATATTGAGATAAAATTATAGGTTAAAAAGCAAATGAGATAAGCTGGCTAGGAATTTTGTCCAGAAAAAAATAAATAAATAAAATAAAATGCTCTATTCATTGTCTAGCACTATATATTGTAAGAATAGTTGAAATTTAATAGAGTGTTATAAGTTTTCCATGTCTACTTCATAGGGCATAGGGTGTTGAAAAATATTTGCTTTCTTTCATAATTTATTGTTTGTTCCACTAACCTCTGAAAACTTAAACTTAACTTACATCATCTTATTACATAACATGAAAAATCACATGAATTAAAAACCTCAAAATGCCAAAAACTAAAAGTTTTTTTTCCTGAATATTGTAGTATAGTGTATTTTGATAAATTTAATTTAATTTTGCCTTGAATTTTAATATCTATATGTTATAATATTTCTGTTTGAGTATTTATATTTAACAAGACTGTATGTAAAGTAAACTAGGTAGTTTTATTGTTATGTACACGACTGTTTAGAATATCTATTTTATACTTTTTCTCCCTACAACCTCTATATAAAAAATCTGCAATTAATTATTTAAATAGCTTATTATGGAAGAAGATTTGGAGGTTGTTAGTGTCTTAGCTGATCTGTGCCACAGAGATAGAACGCCATTAGCCAATGCTGTTTTGCGAGTATTTAGGTATGAAAAGAAAGAAGCAATGCTCTTGAAGACAATGAATGATAGAGAAATTCAATTTGAAGGTAATTTTTTCTTTTATAGTTCTGTCCTCAAATCAGATAGTTTCCACCAAATCATGTAATTTATGCCCTATGTAATTATGTTAGTCTAGTTGTGATAATTGTATTGACTTTATTCTGTGTTAAAAGAAAAAAGCGAATATATTAAATATGCTGAAATATTCTCTTTTTTGTGTGTTTTGTATAGCATCACTTTTTTAAAGGTCTTCATTTGTTTATATTTCTCACTACTATTTTCAAATTGTTTTCTTTCAATTTTGAAAACAATTTAACAGAAAATATATTTTTATCTTTAGTAAAAATAATTGCTTGACTTACGTTTGAATTTGTTATAGAAGATACTACTACTTTATTCCGGTCGGCCTCTCTTACAACAACATTAATGGACCATTATATGAGATCAACTACTAATGGATTTTTACACCAAGCTGTACAAGATTTTATACTTAAAGTGATGGATAGTCGACAGTCTTGTGAGGTTTGTCCAACAATATATTACTGATTTTTTTTTCTATTTACATATATATACATGACTTTTGTTATATACCCATGATATGTATGCATGACCAATTAAAAGTAAACAAGTTCCTCTGTCCCTATTATACATTTTTGTTTAAAAATGTGAATATTTTGGTTATTAGCATTTTCTACTAACAAACACAAGCTGTGATATTTTTCATTAACTGAAAGTGCAACTGTAAATATATGAATGAAGGTATATCGTTTGCTGACCTTATGATTCTCTTTCAGTTGAATCCAAGCAAACTTGAAAGCCCAATTGAAGCTTGCACAAATGCAGAAAATATGTTGGGCCTTTTAGATGAAGTTATTGAATCGATATTTACCTCTATTGATTCATGTCCAAGGTACTATACTTTTTCCGATTTACTTTGAACTTTTTAACTATATTTCTTTCTCTTAATGAAATATAGTATATATAAATTATTTCGCTTAATTAAAATATATTAAACAGTACACTCTGTATTTGCCATTTGGTGCAAAAACTACTTAAAGTTACACAATAAAAACAATATATTCTGCAAACTGAACATAATATTTTCTCTACATCCTTCTTAATTTTTTAAAAATTAAAGTTGTACCACAACTTTAATTTTTAACAATCTTTAATTTTTCACAATCTTGCTTTAATAAATTCCGTCTAATTTTTTCAGAATGATTTATTAATAAATTAACATATTAAATAAAATACTTCGTAATATTAACATTTTTCTTGTACTCATCCTACACTTTATGAGAAAGCAAAAACATGCTGACCTGGAATTGGTATGATTTTTACCTGGAAAAATCAGGATAATTTGAAACCTGATTTGAGTGGCCACCCTGCTTTCAGAATCAGCTGTCGAAAAATAAATATATATCTTATAGGTTACTGATTCTCAACGGGGGCGGTGAACTTGTTTTGGACAGTAGGGGGACGGTGAACTTGTTTTGGGCAGTAGGGGGGCGATGAGCATTCAAATTCATTTTTAAAACTTCTAAATAAAATTATTAAATTAAAATTAATGTAATAAATAAAGTAAATCAAAAATTAATATTAACGAAAAATAATTAAATTAATATAATAAATTAAAATTATCCAATACACCATTTGTACCAGCAGTAAGACGAACTTATACGACAACTATTCTCCAATCCGAACTATCGCAGGGCATGAGTGAGTTGTTTTTGCTTCTGACTTATTCAAGCCATTTGGCAAAAATTGAAGTCCATGCGCTTTCAGAATGAATGTTTGATTCGATCAGTGTTTCTTATGATTATTTTCGTTCACTCCCTTTCAGTTTTTTCCCCAGTTTGATTCAATTTCATTGATTATTTGACCAGGTACTTGCGCGAATTTGTTCTTCAGCGTAAATTATCTATTAATTTTAAGATGTAGTTTATTTTCTTTCCTCTTTTGTATTTTGCTGCTGCCTACAGTGTCTGTTAATAAAAAAAAGTGTCGTCAATACAGTGTCACGTACTTGAAGTTCGGATTCACAACAATACGGTGTTGCAAGGGATTGATGAGGTGGCTGAAAACATTGAAGTTTCCTTATGCAAACTTTTGATGTCCAACGTATTTCACTTCAAGTTGATGAGTCAACCTTGAAAAATAATGAGGCTTTACTGTTGGCGTACTTCCGATTTATGAAGGAATGAAAAATTATTCAAGAGATGCTTTTTACAAAAAACCTGATTAAAGATGCCAAAGGTAAATCTATTTTTAATGCTGTCAAAGATTATTTTAAAGAGAAAAACATTCCTCTTTCGAATATTATGTCTGTTGCCACTGATGGAGCTACTGCAATGGTTGGTTGACATCGTAGATTTAACCCCGTTTAATTTTGAAGAGAGAGGTACCCCTCCCAAGACAGAGATACCTAGAAAACTCCTCCCATAATTGATGGCCAAGTACCAGATATTTTAGCTGTCCACTGCGAGATTCACAGACAGCATTTAGTTGGAAAAAATCTCAGAGACCATTTGCATCAATCATAGCAATATGTCGATCTCTGCTGTGATGAAAATTCGCAGTAATACTCTCAACGATTAATTATTCAGAGAGCTGTTCCAGAAAAACGATGAAAAATTCAATCACTTGCTACTACACACTGACATTCGCAAACTTTCCAAAAACGCCTATCTCAATAGGTTTTGGAATATTTTCGACTCTGTGCTTGAGTTCCTTGAATACATGACGGATTTATTTGTAAAATTTAATGCTGTTAATTTACAATTTCAAGGCGGCGAGCTCAATTTGATCACTACAAAATTAGCTATTTCTGCCTTTCTAAAAAAAACTCATTTTGCGGAAGCAGAATTTTGGTAGGAATAAGTTTAGCTAATTTCCAATCTTATCGAAATAAAGAATGGTGAAATTATTTCTGATGATACACAAGAATATTGTAATCACCTTGAGTCTTTGTACATTGAATTTTCTGACATTTTAAAGATGTTTTGCCTCTGGAAGTCCCTTAATGGGTTACAAACCCTTTTTTGAATATTGAAACAGCAGAGGTTCAGATTCAGAAGGAATTGGGAGAACTTTCAACTAATAAAACTTTGAAATTTTACAGAATTAACAGAATTTTGGCTTCAAGGTAGCATTTAATAGCCTTCCCTTCCTTCTACCTTGTGGAGCGAAGATTCAGTGATGTGACGTATCTAGTCACAAACAATTGACTCAAATTGTGCAAAGAGGGGACTTGCGTCTTCACCTCNCAAAAACGCCTGTCTCAATAGGTTTTGGAATATTTTCGACTCTGTGCTTGAGTTCCTTGAATACATGACGGATTTATTTGTAAAATTTAATGGTGTTAATTTACAATTTCAAGGCGACGAGCTCAATTTGATCACTACAAAATCAGCTATTTCTGCCTTTCTAAAAAAACTGATTTTGTGGAAGCAGAATTTTGGTTGGAATAAGTTTAGCTAATTTCCAATCTTATCGGAATAAAGAATGGTGAAATTCTTTCTGATGATACACAAGAATATTGTAATCACCTTGAGTCTTCGTACATTGAATTTTCTGACATTTTAAAGATGTTTTGTCCCTGGAAGTCCCTCAATGGGTTACAAACCCTTTTTTGAATATTGAAACAGCAGAGGTTCAGATTCAGAAGGAATTGGGAGAACTTTCAACTAATGAAGCTTTGAAATTTTACAGAATTAACGGAATTTTGGCTTCAAGGTAGCATTTAATAGCCTTCCCTTCCTTCTACCTTATGGAGCGAAGATTCAGTGATGTGACGTATCTAGTCACAAACAATTGACTCAAAATTGTGCAAAGAGGGGACTTGCGTCTTCACCTCATTGAAAATATTGAACCGAACATTAAGTGACTGGCCCTGAACCAAGCACAATCATCCCACTGACATAGTTACTTGATTGTTTCATTGATACTCCTTTTTAGAATAAGTTTTTTAACTATCTTATTGAGAATAAATGACTCTTATTATGCATAGATTTCTCAGGTGTATTTTTTTCATTTCCATAATTATTTTGATTATAACAAATAGATTGCAATTACTTGCCTTAAAAATGTTGCCTCTTTTAATTCAGCGCACATCCCCCCCCCCATGCTCTAAATAACTGGATTTTTACAAAGGGGGGCGTTGAGATTTTTTCTAATCCTTAGGTGGGCCGCAACGTAAAAAAGGTTGAGAATCTATGTTATAGGTTTTCTTTAAATCCCACTCTCTCCTTAAAAAATCAATAAAAATGAGTATCAAATCAGTAATGTATGTTTATAGAAATCAGTAATGCTTTAAAGGCTATTGAATATTTATTTTAGATTATGTTCAATATTTGGGAGTCAACATTTTAGATTTCTCAATGAATGACGAAAAATAGCCATTTTTTTTTGTATTGTAAAGATTGATATTTAAGAAATATCACTAGAGTTCTCCTAACATGTTTTGAAATTACAAATACATGCTTAAAATGTGCTAAGGAATTTAGAAGTATGAATACTAATATATATATATATTAAACATATACTTAAAAGAAGAAGAAAATTAATAATTTATTTTTAAAAAATATTTCAATTTGTGACATGTATCAGCTGAGAAATTGTATTTTTAAAAGTATTGTGTGCTAACTTTTTATATGATATAATATCTTAAAAATTACAAAAGAGAAAAAAATAAAATTTGTGTGCTTTTGTAAAAAAATTTTGTAGAAAAAAATAGGCAATTAACAATACTGGGGAAATATGAAAATATACACGTCTTAAGCAAATTTAGAAATCTGACCCCTTTCAAATGTATCAAAAAAAAATTTATTAAAAATGCAAAAGGTGACCAGGATCTTGTTAAGAGTATAAATTTTATCAGCAATATAATAGTATTATATAACCAATCAGAACTAATAATTTTAATCTGAGAAGTCAAATTAATTAAATCTGTTTTTAGTCATCTCCTTGGTGAGAATTTAAACAGGTAACGGATAGCTGATCTCATTGCAATAAGCTCAAAGTTTTTACGGTAATTAGAAATTACTAGAAACTTTTTTAATTAGCCTGGAAGAGTGGAAATATACGTTCACTAAAATTGACCAGTAATTTCAGCTTCTTGAATTATGAAATTCGGTAGTAAAATTTTTTCTTTTAATCTCATGTTTCATTTCATTGTAAAAGAGATCAATAAGTTTTATTGTCCCTGCCTTACCTTATACTTAAAATGTATGGTTCTGGTAATTTTGCTAATGTTATGAATATTTTTAGGACCTTGCGTTACATTTGTAGCTGTCTCCAAAAAAGTGTGATGGCAAAATGGCCTAATGATCCTTTGGTGAAAACTAGAGTTGTGAGGTATAGTAATGCATTTATTATTTAATTTTGAAAATTTATACATATTTTTTTTTCATTCATAGTTAGTTATTGAAGTTATTGATTTATAATAGCAATGAAACAAGATAATAAAAACATGTTACTGTAGATCTTATTAATGTGACATAATACAACTAAAGTTCTTCTGTTTTAATTTTTTCTGCTATTTATTATCATTTAGTTTTAAATTTAATATTCTTTTTCAAGAAATTGAATATCGATTATCAATGACTAATTGTTACTTGTAACAAAATTTCTTGAATTTGTTTGCAATTAAAATATCCTTTAACATGCAAAGTGGTTTACAAGGACATTTTTCTATCAAAATTTTAATGTAAAGAAATTTCTTACATATAGAAACTTGTTTGCTAATTGCTTTTAGTCGTAATGGGGATCTGATAAATGCTTCTTAACCCTTTCGCACCTAATGGGACACATACGTCCCAAGCGAATTTCAAAAAAGTCCTTTGGGATAGAAACGCCCTCTCTGTCTAATGGGATACTTTCCCATCTGTCCTGCCAATATTTTTGAAGGTATTTTCTTTCACAGAACATAGATGACTCTACCGTACATAATGCTGCCCTACTCATAGTTTATGCTACCAAAATTATACTGTTGTAAAAAAAACTCGTCACGAATGGGTTAAATAGATATATTCATTTTACATATTTCGAGCATTAAAAGGAAAGTAAAAGGAAAATATTTTGTCTCCTATAAATTATCTATCTTGGGAAGAAGATGTAAATGAGAAAAATATGGTTTCACGAGCTTTGTAGAGTGTCTTAGATAAATTTTTGATTAAAAGATCTTTCTTAATTTAAATTCTGTTATTTTTTTGTCTAAAGAAGCATAATTTATTTTGAATTCTATGTAATGAATTTATATTAAATGGTTTTTATAATATTATGTAATAACCTTTTGACATAGGTCTGTTATTTACACAACTAAGTGATGTGTTCAATCACTGATCACTAGCGTACTTATTTGTCATAATAACAATATTATGTTAATTGAATTATAAAATTCTTCCTCATGTATTAAATATGAGTACCTGTTCTGTATTTCCAGTGGATTTATATTTCTTCGATTGCTGTGTCCAGCTATTCTCAATCCTCGCCAGTTTAACTTAATTAATGGTATGTAGAGTATATAATATTTTTTTTAATTGTTGTTTTTAACTTATATTCATATTTGTATTGCTTTTTTGAAGTTTTCAAAGGCATTTAATGTCTATTTTTTCTTAATTCCTTTAAATCTTTGTTTAGATACTCCATCTGAAATAGCTGCTAGAAGTTTAATATTAGTTGCTAAATGCTTGCAAAATCTCGCAAATTTGGTTGAATTTGGAGGCAAGGTAGTAAAAGTAAGTAGCCATTTGTACCTATTTCTGAGAGAGTTGAAATTTCATCAAGTTTACTTATTTAAATGGTAGTATGGTAAGTTTTACTGAACCTGAGACTAAATGTTCTACTAAATGAAATATATATAGTTATGCGTGATCCTCCTTAACCAAGCAAAATATAGAAACATACAAATTTTTTATTCGTATTCTGATGGGTGTGTTTTTCAAATTTCACTGTGAAATCTTTGGGAATCTAATTTGCTAAACTATATATTGCTTGATTCAATTTGAACTAAAGAAAAAAAAACAAATGACTAATATTTTTTTTAGTAAAAATGACAATATTATGTATGCTAAGAGTGAAAGTTTTAAAAAATGTTTTCTTGAAACTATTTTATAAAATTTAACTTTAAAAAAAAAATTTTTAGAAATTGATAAAATAAAATTACTACTGTATAGTGTTTTTGAACTTCTTTTTTTTTCGGTAATTAATTTTTCATTTATTTTATTTTTCCTCTCTGATCCATCTTATATATTGCCCTCATAGTTTCTAAGTAATAAGTATATTAGTGCTGAAAAAAAAAAATAATATGCGCCTAGATTAATAAAATTTTACTATTTGTTGTTTTTTTATTATTTATTAAAAAATGTATTCTATTTATTGTAGGAGCCTTGGATGGAAGTGATAAATCCTTTTATTCTAAAAAATAAGAACAGAATGATAAAGTTCCTTGATGATATATCGGTAATATTTTCCCCATTATGCTTATCTAACTACTAGTTATGCAACTAGTTATTTATTTTAAAATATTCTCTTTTTTTCTAAAGAATGTTCCAGAAAGACCTGAACCCGAGGAAATATTTTCTGGTGATCCATCTAGGGAATTAGCAACTCTTCATCATATTTGTGCAACTCATAAGGAAGAGTTACAAAATTTAAGCTTACAGCGGGTATGTCTAGAAATAAAGAAACTTTCTGTATGAGAGAAGACAATATGTAGATTTTGTATTATTTAACTGAATATAATTGTGTTGCATTAAATTCGCACTAGGTACCTTTTTTTAAGTGAATTTATCAGGGCTGCCATTGGCAACTACAAAAGTGACTTAAATGATTATTTTCTAGGGCAACTAATTTTGCAAAATATCTGCAAAACAACTATTTTGCAATCAATTGTAAAAAATCTACTACTTTTTTTACCAATTTGCATCTTAAAAAACTGATTCGCAATTTTATGTCCCTGTTGCAGCACAATTTAGAATTGGTTTCTTATTTGGTATGTCTGTTATCTATATTTGCCCTCGTGTACAAGTGTTTTTTTGTTTTGTTTTTTTCACTCCATTTGACCTAGTGTGATTACAATAAGATATTTCATTCCTTTGAAGTGTGATACAGCCTTGGACTATTGCAGGAATGAACAATCTTTGATCCTGTTGTAGTTTGTTTATGACGATTGCATGTTAATGTCAAATATACAGAATTCAACATTATAAGAAATTATGCTTCAATTTTTGTAGGATTTTTTTTTTTTTTTTTTTTTTTTTTTTTTTTTTTNTTTTTTTTTTTTTTTTTTTTTTTTTTTTTGTGTTAACATGATGTTTAGTTCATATGAGTGTTCTTAGCTCATTGTTTTTAATGAGGAAGAAAAATTTTAAGAATTGTTTTTTTAAATAATAAATTATATATTTAGTGACAATGGTTTNTTTTCCTTGTACTTCGGGTTCGATAAAACATCGATTAACGACACTTTTTGGTCGATCCAGAAAACCGGGAAATTCAGATATCCGGGATAGCGATGGTCCCAAGCATCCCAGATACTTGGTTCTCTACTGTATTTCTCCTTTGAAGTATGATACAGCCCTGGACTATTGCAGGAATGAACAATCTTTGATCCTGTTGTAGTTCGTTTTTGACGATTGCATGTTAATGTCAAATATATAGAATTCAACATTATAAGAAATTATGCTTCAATTTTTGTAGGATTTTTTTTTTGTGTTAACATGATGTTTAGTTCATATGAGTGTCCTTAGCTCATTGTTTTTAATGAGGAAGAAAAATTTTAAGAATTGTTTTTTTAAATAATAAATTATATATTTAGTGACAATGGTTTAATTAAAACTTATTTATTTTCTACGTGTTAAATTTTATTCATCAAGTAAAGATAACACATTAAATATATTTTTAGTTACCTAATTTTGACGAATCATTTATTTCACATAATTGTATTTAATTTAGGAAATGTGCTCAATATGATCCATACCATAATTTAATTTTACCAAGATCGCTGTTTTACTATTTTAAATAATTACTAGCATTTTTTACTAGCTTTTTTACTTTAATAATTACTAGCATTAATTACTAGTGATATTTATTTAAAAGTTCGTAAATTACATATTTTACTATTCATGCAGGACCCATCTATACTTTACTCTGAATGAGTTCTACAATTCAAGCTGTTATATTCTTCCCATACCTCCAACCTGCCCTTTCATACATAACTTTATTAAACTACTGAGTTTTCATTTTTCTGTGGATCCCAGAATTTCCGATTTATTTATTTTTTATACTACTCTTAGATTTCTTCTGAATATCTCTATTGCATCATTATTCTATCCTTTCCCACCCACAATATGATGGTCAACATTCATGTTAAACTTATTTTAATACAGTCTAACAAATTAAAAAGAAAGGAAGTCAAATTTTTTTGCATATTTAAATATTAAATAATAATAATTGGTGTTAATTAAAATATTTAAACTTCACATACAGTAACATAAGGACAGTTTTCGAACACTTCATTGATGGGAAGCAAGAAGGACTCTATTAAATACTTATGAGATATGTTTATCTTAAAAAAATGGAGTTGTTTAGCTGCTAATAACAAATATTAATGAAACTGTATTTGAATGATCTATGTTGAAATGAACATATGAAAAGAATCAAACAGTTAACTACTGACCAAAAAAATTCTGTTGCTCTTAATTCAATTTTTATTTTGGTATTGGAAAATTAAATAGTTAATAAAATATCAGTATAGTATTTAGCATAGTTTAAAAAGCATTGAATGTAATAATTTTGTTTTCTAGAACTACTTTTTTTAAAAGGTACAAAAGAATCTTGAATCTGAATCCTATCATTTTAATTGAATAAAAATTAAGTGAGTAGTTAAACTACTGTCAGATTTGCTAACATTTGTGTGACCAAAATTTTTTCTTGCTTGTTCTAGTTTCATTTATTAATTTTTTCTTCAAATTAGTAGCATTTCATTTATTCCAATTTTATTTACAGCCTATTCTCAAGAAATTGGTCACTGTTACAGATATGCTTTCCAAGCATAAACAGCACTACACTGAAATGCTGAGATAGTATTATCGCTGCAGAAGTAATTCCACCATATGAATTTGAATAGATCTGAAGGACAACTGTCTAGACTACATTTCTGTAGGGGAGAAACAAAGGAAGAAAAAAGTAAATAAACTTTTCTCAGTATTGCTTAGTTCTCTCATTATGTGGCATATTACGACCAATAAATGCCAGCAGGATCTGGCTCGAAGAGAAGTGAAGATTAATTTCCTATCAAGCCCAGCTTCTCCAAATGCCTCTTGCTAAAGGATTCAGACTGGTTGTTGAAAAGAAANAAAAAAAAAAAAAAAAAAAAAAAAAAAAAAAAAAAAAAAAAAAAAAAAAAAAAAAAAGAGCTTGCATCTTCCTTACATTGGTAATTAAAAAAGACTGTATGTAAGTAATGCAATAGCTCTTTCTCATGGTGCTGTGTTGTGAATGCAAATGTAAATTTTTGACTTCCAATACTGAGCCCTGTGCGGAAAAGATTCACATTTTTGTATTATTGACTTTCAAATGGCCCGGTTTCAGTTTAGTCATCTGAATGTAATAAAACCTTTTACATTATCCCACCAAATTCCAGGTGATTACTCAGGTTGGAAGATGTGTTGTACTGAAAAACATATTCATATTTTGATGTTTTATTTTTGTAAAGTTCAGAGGGTTGCAAGATTTTTTTTCCTCTTAAATGTTATTTAATTATTTTATTAACTATTTTTAGTAGTAAATCAAAATCTTTTAAGAAAATCAATGTTTTTAAATGGAATCTTTTCAAACAATCTCAGACGTGTCACCACATGAGTGGATCTTTTATACTTGTTAAGAATTTAATTGTTAAGAGAAAAAGATCTTGAAAAACTGCTAAAAATATGTGATTTCTAATTTCAAAAACTTTTAATGCTTAGAATATATATATTTTTAATATGCTTTAATTAAGATATAATTTTAGTGTGTGAATTCAAAAGATACAGGTTTTTCTGTTGTCCATCTTTAATCTAATATTTAGATACTTCAAAATAATAAAGTAAAAAAAAATATTTATACACATTAGGGATCCCAAATTATTCTTAAACAAAAGTTATTATCGAAATCAAGGAAATCACTATTTGAGAAAATGGAGATAAAAGCATCATAATCTGTTTGATTCTTCTTCTTTGAAGACTCCACAATCCTTTGTGGGCCAAGGTTTTCTTCAGAATCTTTTTTCATTCTACTCTCTTCCTCGCCAGGGTGTTCCAGTTGTTCACTTTTAGTGCCTCAAATTTTCCAATAAAGTAGTCAACCCACTTTAGTCTGGGTCTGCCTCTGGTTCATGTTCCAGCTAATTTAGAATGAGAAACTAAGGCTGTTAGGGAGGGTAGGTCCATTTAGCGGATGTTATCAGCAAATTTGATGTGGTTTATTTAGATTGATAATTTTTTCCTCTCTATACAGCTCATTGTATCTGTGTCTTCATGTACCATTGTTATTCGCTGCACCCAAAATCCTTTTCATAACTTTTCTATCAAAGATAGTAAATTGTCATAACGAGGCTTCTAAACCATATATGAGCAAAAGTCTAATAATTTTATATAACATGATTTTTTTTTTTTTTTTAATTTTAACTCATTTTGATTGTAGAAAATTTCTTAATCCATTAAAACAACAATTAGCTGCAACAATGCCTCCTTTTATTCTTAGTATCTAAATTGTTATGTCTGTTCACATTTGATTTAAAGTAGTTGAAGTCATTGATAGATACAATTTATAAGGAATTAAAATTAATTGAGAGGTCTTACATACAAATACATATATTTCGTTTCGTTTTCTTTAATAATTCTGCGTATTTTTGCTGTTGTTCTTTTAATAACAGTATATATCTCTATAATGCATTTTTAGCTAAAGCAATAGTGACAATATCATCAGCATAGCCAAGAATTTAAATAGTTCCTCCAGTTTTAATACTAGAAACCCAGATAGACCATTTTAAGGCAGATTGAAAAGAAAACAACCAAATAGCGTACAACCTTGTTGTACACTATAGCATTTGCCAATTAGTACTACTATAGGCCGCTTTAAAGTCACTAAAAAGATAGTGTGCAAATCTATTCCATATTCTCTAGATTTTTTTAAAAAAACTGCTGTATTGACCAAGAAAAAAAGGCAAAGCACACGGCAAAGGTCATCGTTAGAAATGACTTTAAGTTTTAACTGATATTGTTACAGGCTTCAATATTCATCTACCTTCTTCAAAAGTTATTAATTGCATTTTTATTTATCCTATCTTAAATATTAATTTGTGATCCCCAATGTGTATCTATATCTCTGTTTTACTTCATTTTATTCAATGATTCTAAAAATTTATGTAAGGATTTTATATTCCCTGATAATTAAATTTTTTTTAATTATTTAGTATAAAGTATTAAAATTGGTTTTACCTATTCAGACCTGGCAAATTTTGTAATTTCTGTACATAAAATTTTAAAATTTCCTTTAAGTAATTCAGTACGTTTACAAGCAGTTTTGAGGGTTTATAGAGCTAATTTCTTTTGCGAACTAGATGAGTATCAGATTCATCTGGGCAGAGTTTAACAATCTATGCATTATTACAGGGTTAGTGAAAATATGTGAAACAAGTTTTCCTTCTTTTTTTTTATTTTTTATTTATTTATTATAGATATTTTGTAAATACTTAGATTCTTCTTTTTACTAGTATCATTAAAATTGATCATGGGAGTTGGATGTTTTATTTATTATTTTTTTTAAACTATCAAATATTTCATTAATATTATTATTTTGATGAAATATCTCACAGTTATGTTTAGAAAATAGAAATGTATTAATTCTAAATTTCTTAATTGATTTATTGATTCACCAATTTTGCAACTATCTAGATGCATATTAAGTCAATGAATTTAAAATGTTTGTTTTTAACCTTATTAGGAATGCTTATAAATTTAAATTGTTTTGTATGTTCTTTAATTATTTTCCATATTAAAAAAATCATTAATTTTAATAATATTTAAAAATATTAATAATTCTATAAACAATTCTGTTATATTAAATAAGGTGTAAAATTAACAAACAATTGATTAATATGTAGCATAAAAGACTTAAGAGTATAACCAAACAATGTAAATTAAGTGTCTTGTGCATTTTATTCCAATATGTGCATGTTGAGATTGTAAAATAGATAAAACTCATAAATTGTCTCTTAAGCTGTATAAAAATTGCTAATATATCTAATTTCAAATAATTGCAAATGCTATTAAATATATTCCATTGTTATTTTGTTTTGACTACATTGTTCATTTGATGAGCTTAATATTGGGTAAAAACTAAATGTTTTTGTGTGTAACATAGCATACATTAATCCTAGTTCATTACCCTTTTATTCCTGCTTTTAAAATATGTTTTAGGTTAAAAAAAATTTTTGTGTATTTTAAATTTCATTGAAGCACCATGCAGTTAAAAAAATATATTTTGTCCTAATTGTGCGGTGTTATATATCTTTGTTTAAAGTATGTGTTTTTAATGTGGAATTTAAACTTAAGGTTTTTTGTGAAAGGTTTATCAGTTCAAGTCAGCAATTGTTGTGATACATATATGAAAAATAAAAATTTGTCTAGCTAAGTAGTATGCAATTGCCAAAATAAATGCACAGTAAAACAAAATTTCATACTCCTTTCCTCTCTGTAGCTTAAAGAATCAAATAATTTTTAACTTTGTATAGAATTATCAATTTGCTTGCATAAAGAAACGCAATTAATGAGTGTGAAATATTGAATCTATGTATTTGCGTTTGAAATGAAATACTCTAATTTAAAATCTACTGATTCTTTGCCTATAAATAACAATTAATCAAAAATTGTATGCTTGTACTCCAAAAGAAACAAAAACTTTCTAAAATTTTAAGAAATTTTATCACATTACATAAATTTTTAAAATCTTTCTATGACATTTTTGTTTGTTACAAATTGCCTATCAAATTCCATCAAATACAATAATTTTAGTGACATGGCAATTATAAATTTTCAAACTAATTAGGTAACATTTCCATTTTTCCCCTAATGAGTTCTTTTTATATTTTGCATCAATATAATTTTTGAACTGAAAAGTGTATAAAAAAAAACTCTGGAAGTCATTTCATAAAATATACAAGTACTTTCTTTTGATTATCATCAAGGTAAGCTAAAACTTAATTTATATTTTTTTTAAAAAGGTTTTCATATTAATTTTCCTGTTATAGATAATCAAAATTACTTTTCAAATATTATTTTATTAATAAATAGTTCACAAAAAAAAAACATTAAAATTCAAGGTTTATTAAAAAAAAAAGTAAGAATTGTTTTCTTAAGCATTATGTTTTTGCCTTGGAAATGTTTTTTTTTTTTTTTTTTTTTCCTTTTGGATTTCTAGTTACAGTTTTTTTATTTTTTTTTATTGAAGTACTTATGCTTGTTTTTACTTCTAAGCTTTGAACTGCTTTTTTTTTAAATTTATTTGTGATAATAGTAGCAGTATGTAATTAGTCAAATACTATAATAATAATAATTTTAAGTATAAAATTTTGAAGTACATATCTTCACAGATCATGTCATAAAATACTTGTTTATTTAAAGCTTTCTCTAAATTCAATAAAAAGTTATTAAACTACAGAGTTGTAACAATTGTACTAAAAACACCTTAAAACTCTGTAACAACACTGCCTTTAGGATCTATGCAGACTTGTTTTAAATATGCCTTTAAAAATTTAATAATAATGCTTATTTAGACTGCTATGTAATGAAAAAATAATTGCAATAAAATATTGTAGTGAGAATCTAGCAAATTATTTTAGCAGTGAAAATCAATTTAATTCCTTAATATTTAACTTGCCTTTTAAAACATTAATTTCATTTGTTATTGTAAAAAAAAAAATTTTATCATTAAATTTATTAACATTATGAATAACTTTTTTCAAAAATTAATTTTTGTATCCTGAAATTTTCCTCTTTCTAGCTACAATTCTTGTGTTTGCTAGTAATATTTACCAAGTACAATTTAGATTAAATGCAAAAGATAATTTTACTATTTAATAAAATGTTTACATTAAACGCAATGCCTTTTTCACTGTCACTCTTTATTTTTTGAAAGTTAAGAACTGCAGTGCAATGCATCAAAAACAACGAATCGTATTCTGTTTAGTTATGACTTTTGTCTTGTCATGTGTTTTGTAATAATGGGTTGTAATATATTTTTCTATGCCTGATACATCTTGATTTACTTTGTGATAATTTAAATGTCATTTGTACCTAATCATTT